GACCTCACAGGTGAGGGCATGCGGGTGCTCCAAGACCGCACGATCAAATACAGGTCCGCACTGAAATACTTGTCGGGAGGATACTTTATAAAACAAGGTAGCATTTTTTTTTGATTTTTTTTTTATTCTTACACACATATTTTGGTTTATCTTCCTTCTACAATCATTATCTGAAAATTAATGACTCAACTTCAAAGTCTGAAGTAATACACGATACTTGAATTTTAAAAGATTTTCTCTCACATAATATCCAGTAATATGTTCTTGTATATGTATATCTTTGAAACAGAACCTCATGCAGCAGTTTTGTAATACTTGAATTTTGTGCTTCGTTTCTTCCGTCAAAAAATTATAATATACTGTAGCGCCATAGTCTAGGTGAGTGAGGATTAATGCATTGGTAAGCCTTGATTTTATATCGCTGGTTAAAACATGTTTGTATCTCCAAAGTGACTTGAATTTACAATAGCATACTCGAAGTTTATTAATGACATGGTTCTCAAAACTTAAATTCTTAGTCTCCTCTACAATTTCAACAGATGTATCACCTAAAACAATGATTCCGCCCTCCTTCTCATGAAATTGCGCACTCGTTGAAATATCCCTGGAGTGTTTTTTATTCTTTCACAAGCTGCAACTATTCTTTCTCTTAATGCCTCTTCAGTGTTAATGAGACTTGTGTACGCTAGTGTCTTAATATAGCCCCACAAAAAGAAATCTTAACTGTTCAGGTCTGGGGACCTTGGTGGCCATTCTTGGGGCCCACCGCGGCCAATCCATCGATTTGGATAAACAGTTTGTAACTAATTACGAAGCGTTGCACTGAAATGCGCTGGTTCACCATCATGCATGTACCACATATTGTTTCTTCTCCAAACAATTTGATGGCAAATATTTAAGAGTCTAGCGATCTTCCTCGAACTGGTTCCAGGATGTTCTCCGACTTCGTGCAGCACTGCTTCCTCAATTTCAGGTGTTCTCACACTTAGAGGTCTATCTGCTGATGTTCCTTTTCGGACAGAACCAGTTTCAACAAGACGACGATGAATATTAGAAAAGGTTCGACTATATGGCAAAGCACGATCTGGATATCTCTGGTGATAAATTCGTCTGGCTTGCTCACCATTACCGTCGGCAAGGCCAAATACGTAATGCATTTCCGCCATTTCTGCATTTGAATAATTCACCATTATTAACAAGATTGTAAAAACTAAATAATGAAAAAGATGTCACAGCGAACAGATTTGAATAACAGAGATTTGTCAGATACCCGTACGTACGCCACTGTTGAAGCTAAAAATTATTTTTGCATCGAAAAATATGCAACTTTATTAACTTTCACTACGTACTAAATATCAGTGAAATATCTGAAGCGGTTCTGAAAATATTAATTAATTTCCATTTTTTTCCTAAAACTTCAACACCCCGAGTTATTGTAAGGAAACATTTTTGGACCATAGTTTATAAAGCAAACTAACATTAATTTTTCATGTAGATTCACACGCTTAAATATTCGCATAAGGAACACCCTGTATATTCTTATTTTAAGGTAAGGTGCTAAAATCTGAAGTAAAAAAAGCGAAATTGAGGTATTTTTTAACCCGGACAAGAATTAAATGTACAATCATGAATAACAGTGATATGGTAACATATAGGATTTGTGACTATTCCTAGTAGTGCTTAAGTCTATAATAATAATAATATAATATCTATTCACTCAATGTACAAAGAGAATAAACAACATTGTAAATAAATTTAAAATAAAAACAGCCCCAATAGGAGGCATTGTCTGTACATGGACCAATCATTTTAAGATGCAACTGTAGAATCCAAAATACAAAAAATGGTAAAAATTAGTCACAGTGTTTACGTGTGTGTGTTTACGTGATGTTCGTATTTATGTGCATGTAGCCACTAATTTCCGAAATGTAAATCTTTTAAATCTTTAGGTTTCATAAAATTTTGGCGCTAAATAGCGATATGACTACTAAATTATAGACTGACTATATGTGTGGCTAAGGAAATCAAGAGACCTCAAAGTTGCATTTCTATTTGCTTAATCCAAGGAACATAATAAAAATTGCACAAAACTAAGTGGCGTACAATTTTTTTGTACAAATATTCGTTCAGGTCCCGCTAGAGGCGCCACTGGACTTTATTTAAATTAGGCCTAAATTAGCTTCCCAATGTTATAAATATCGTCGCCAAATTACAACAAAATTAGGCAAATGATATACAGGATGTTTCAGTTTATTGTTGCATAACTTTAAGATTCGATAGAACTTTTAAAATTAATGCATAAAGTCTATATAAACATGGGTAGAAAAATACGTGGCTTCTGAAATACAAAGTGTTTAAATTTACTTTCTAAAATAGTTTTTTTTTAAATATTTCGAACAATATTTGATGTATAACAGTGAAAATTGGTATACAAGGGTTTTTTGGTACGACAAAACGAACCATAGTTTTACTGTAGCCGCTAGAGGGCGCTCTCTACTGTGCCTGTAGTGTATTAAAATGACCGAAAATTTTTTCTTAGTGCAATTTTTTGCTTTTTGGATAAAAAAACTGATTCTTCGCACTTTTCAACATAAAAAAGCTCTCTTGTGAATTTTCGTTATAGTTAACCGTTCTTGAGATATTTCGATTTTTAAGGTTCGATACATTTTTAATTATTTATGATAAAATAACGTTAAAAAGTCAGTATCTCGATAATTTTTAGAAGTAGGCTGTGCCTGCAAATATTTTTGAAATTGAAAGCAGAATAAGGTTAAACGTCAATTAGTTGACAGTTAGTTTTGTTGTCTGTTGAAACCTGAAACGTTTTTCTGCAATTGTGAATGTACGAAATTCAGTTTCTTTTACCTGTTTTTTTTTTGTAAGTTTTATAAAAATGCCATTTTTATTCTTCAATCAAGAGTTAGCGGATATTCATTTTGTGTATGGCTTTGTAAATGGAAACGCAGCAGAAGCAGCCAGAGAATACACACGAAGATTTCCAAACAGACGACATCTAACTCGCTCAGTATTTGTAAGAGTGCATCGCGAAATAATTGAAAATGGTTTTGGAAATCTCCAAAGGGATCAAAACATAAATGTTCGTCAGCGCAGATTTACCCGTATGATTCTGCGTGAGTTTGATAGAGATCCGACCGCAAGTGTTAGGAGAGTTTCTGGTGCCTTGGGAATTTCAGCAAGCCATGTTCACCGTGTTCTTAAAAATGACGATAGACGTCCTTACCATTTGCAACCTGTGCAAGGACTACAGCCAGGGGACGGAGAACGAAGAATCACATTTTGTCAGTGGATTCTTGATAGAACTGATAATAATAGCGAGTTTTTAAGTAACGTTTTATGGACCGATGAGTCATGCTTCACTAGACGTGGAGTGGTAAATTTTCCTAATCAACATATTTCGTCGCATGAAAATCCGCATGCAGTTCGGGAAATAAATTTTCAGCATGAATTTAGTGTGAACGTGTGGATTGGTATCTACCGTAATCGACTATTTGGACCCTACCTTTTGCCTGCAAGGTTAAATGCTGCGACCTTCTTGGAATTTTTAAAGGCTGAACATGCAAATATGTGGGATGATGTTATGTTAGATTTAAGAAGATTGGCCTGGTTCCAGCTTGATGGTTGTCCAGCTCATTATTCGAGAATAGTTAGAAACTGGCTGGACGAAAATTATCCAGAAAGATGGATCGGCCGTGGAGGACCAGTCGCTTGGCCTCCACGATCCCCTGACCCAGATCCATTAGATTTCTTTGTGTGGGGATTTCTAAAAGAAAAAGTGTACCAGACTCCAGTAACCACAAGAGATATGCTAATACACAAAATCAGGACTGCATGTGATGAAATAATGCCTTATTTGAATAATGCTATACCACGTTCGATCATTCGTAGATGTGAATTGTGTATTGAACAATTGGATTTACATTTCGAGCAACTACTTTAGATTTTGTATGTTTGTCCTAACTATCCAATAGCATTTTAGTTGTAAATAATTAATTTAATTTGTTAAAAATAATATTGGAAAATTAAACAAATTAATATTCTGTTTTTTGTGTTTATTTGGAGTTAGGAATTATTGCTGTGTTTAAAAACACAATCTAAACGATCATCTTAATTACTTGTAACGCCCAAATCGAAAATGTAAAAAAAAATATTATTTTCCCATAAATAATTAAAAATCCATCGAACCTTAAAAATCGAAATATCTCAAAAACGGCTAACTATAAGGAAAACTCACAGGAGAGCTTTTTATGCAGAAAAGTGCGAAGAATCAGTGTTATTATTCAGAAAGCAAAAAATTGCTCTAAGAAAAATTTTTCGGTCATTTTAATCCACTACAGGTACAGTAGAGAGCGCCCTCTAGCGGCTAAAGTAAACTATGCCCATGGTTCGTTTTGTCGTACCAAAAAACCCTTGTATACCAATTTCCACTGTTATACATCAAATATTGTTCGAAATATTTAAAAAAAACTATTTTAGAAAGTAAATTTAAACACCCTGTATTTCGGAAGCCGCGCATTTTTCGACCCATGTTCATATGAACTTTATGGATTAATTTTAAACGTTCTATCGAATCTTCAAGTTATGCAACAATAAACTGAAACACCCTGTATAAGGTTCTTTCGAATAATTTTTTTTTAAACTGTAACACCCTGTATAATGAATTTGTCTTGAGTTTACTCAAAGAATCGTCTGAGTAATGTTTACAGGGCATTACTCATTCAATTACTTTTCTAGAATTAATTCCTCGTCCGCAAATTAATCTTCCAGCAGTTGTTGCAGGTTTCTCAAATTCTTAATTAATACTGGTTACATTGTTTGGAAATATACAATTTTACCTCCTTTAGCTTCGAAGGAAATACGCTCTTTGAAAAGTTCGCAGTCATGAACAATCTTCAACTTTAAAGCATAATCTTAAAAGAATTGCTCTAGCTAAATCAGACTTCGTCGTACCTTGGAAGAGAGGTCAAAATCAAACACACTACTTGAAACCACTTATTTTATTTATATCCATATAAAATTCAATACACGTAGAATATCCTCATTGTGACAGTTGACATAACATGGCCACGCCCCTCATGATCCAATGAGACTGCGGTTTCTTCGATGGTAACGACATCGCAATCACAAAGTTGGTTGAGTGACCGGTGGTGGAAAGGACACCTCTTCTCTCTGAGGTTTTATAGACGGGACATATGTACGTCGGTTTATCGACGAGATCAGACCTCTTCAGTGGCTTTAGCCATATCTGGAAGAGTATAAAATGCTTACATATATAGCGAATGTCTAAATTAAAATAACTAACTAAATGTACAGATGTCCTAGGTATACGTATTCCTAAAAGAGCCTTACCTTTTCAGAGACAACAATTTGGTAAAACACAAGCAAAAAAAATAAAAATATACGAAGGCCAATTTTGATTATACAGGGTGACTCAGAAGTGACCAAAAATGAAACATCATACACAGGACCGCGTTTTAAGGAAGGTCTTCTATGAAACATTTTTCAACAATATGAGTAGATAGGGTTTGTATGTTCTGGAACGCCCTTGAGCGCCGACCTTCGCCGCCAAACGACCTTGAGAGCTGATTTTCGGTGCCAACCTTGAAATGTGACCTTGACGTGTGACCTTGAAACGTGATCTTGAGTTTCCGAGTGACCTTGAACATATATGACCTCGAACACTCTCGACCTGGAGTGGGTGTGACCTTGTAGGAGTGAACGACCTTGAGATTTAGAAGGGAGCGCCGCTCAAGGTCGTTCACTCCTATAAGGTCACACCCACTCCAGGTCGAGAGTGCTCGATGTCATATAGGTTCAAGGTCACATTTCAAGGTCACTCGGAAACTCAATGTCACACTTCAAGGCCACTCGGAAACTCAAGGTGACTCGGAAACTCAAGGTCACTAGGAAACTCAAGGTCACTCGGAAACTCAAGGTCATTCGGAAAATCAAGGTCGCTCGGAAACTCAAGGTCATTCAGAAACTCAAGGTCGCTCGGAAACTCAAGGTCACTCGGAAACTCAAGGTTACGTATCAAGGTCACACTTTTTTTTTTTGAAATAATTTATTTAAACACAATAATACAAAAAGTATAACCAGTTTTAACAATAATTCCCTAATCAGTGTTTGCAAACACTTGCCCCGAGAATAACAAGACAATAATTAATATCTATGAACTACAGGTACACTGCAATGTTGCTCATAATTTCAACAAATAAATTCATTAACATTTTTACAATCTTTCAATTCTCTAACAAAACTTCTATAGTTATTTGAATCTTTTATACAATGAGGTAAATTATTAAATTTCTTAATTGCGTCTGTGATCGGATTTTTTAAACCTATGTTTTCTTGTGGAAATTTGATAAACATTATTTAGTGATCTTGTTTGGTGATCATGCACGTTATGGTAGAACCTAATATTTATGTTACTTTTTAGTAGATTATTTATAATTTTATAAACAAGTTTACATTGTTCCACCTCCAATAACACTCTTAATTTGTTTAAATTTAAATTTGAATAAAGTGTATTAGAACTTGTAAGCCAATCAAAATTAAACAATATTTTCAGAACTTTATTTTGTAAAACTTGAGCTTTATTAAAATTAACTTCACCGCACATACCCCATACTGGCAAGGGGTACCTAAAATGTGTAAGAAAGAAGGCATTATAAATTTGAAATTTGCTTTTGTTTGACAAATAATCTCGACTCTTATATAAGGCAGATAGCATTGAAACTATTTTATCACAAATTCCATTTACGTTAAGTGACCAATTTAAACTTTCATCTATCAGTAATCCCAAATATTTAATACTTGACACTTTTTCTAGCGCTATATTATTTATGTTAATATTTAGATTATTGCTAACTATCTCATTTTTTTTTTAAATATAATGTATTTTGTTTTTTCAATGTTAATTTTTAATCTATTCGAAAACAGCCATTTAAGATAACTAGTCAGGTCATCATTAATAAGATTCGTTAAAGCAATTTCGTCTGTTCCAGTATATACCAGTACAGTGTCATCTGCAAAGGTAAAATATCTTCCCCTCAGATTGGCCAACTTGAGATTCAGTACATAAAGACTGTATAACAGAGGTCCAAGAACTGACCCCTGTGGTACTCCATAGGTGCTAGATAACCATTCACTATCAATGTCTCCAAGCTTTATGTACTGTTTTCTGTCATATAAATAAGACTTAATCAAGCTGTACGAAACACCTCTAAATCCCATTTTAAACAATTTATCTAAAAGAATGTCTACACTTACTACGTCAAAAGCTTTTTTTAGGTCAATTAAAACAGCTACAACTATTTGTTGTTTATCTAGAGCCATTGAAATGTAGTCCACAAAATCAACAACCGCACTAAGTGTGCTACTGTTCGTTATAAAACCATATTGAAATTCATCAATCAATATATTGTGAGTAACAATGAAAGATAACATTCTTTTTATTATTAATTTTTCTATAATCTTAGAGAATACACACACCACTGAAATAGGCCTGTAATTGTTCATACATTTAATATCTCCCGACTTAAAAAGTGGGGTTATTTTAATTATTTTCAATTTTGATGGAAATATTCCTTTTTGTATAGTTTCATTGATTAATCGTACTAAAACAGATATTAAGTATTCTCCAAGATTATTTACATCCTTAACCGTGATACCGTCATATCCAGGTGCTGAGTTTATTTTTAGTTCTTTCACAACTTCCAACAACTCTTCTTTATTAGTCAATGTTATCGAAATAGAATCTTCGTTGTGTACCTCACCAACAGAAATAAACTCATTCAACCGCTGAATCTCTGCTTCCAAATTTTCAACAATTGATCCACCGACCCGAGAAAAGTATTTATTTAAATTGTTTGCAATATCAAGTTGAGTGTTAATAAAGTTATTTTCAGTTACTAGTTGATCAATTCTTACTTTATACTCCTTATTTTTTATTAGGCTGTTTATAAAAGCCCATTGTTTCTTTACATTGTTTCCAGCTAAGCTCCATTTAGTTTGGAAATAACGGTTCTTCAAAGCACATATTTTATTGTTTATTTTATTTTTGATGTTTTTAAATTCAGAGATGATAGTTAAGCCTTCTGGTTGGTTAATCTTTCTTTTATATAATTTATCTCTTTTTTTGATAAGCTCAAGGACTTTATTATTTATCCAGGTGTTATTTGTACGTATTCTTAATTTTTTTATATATACTGATTTACTTTTGCAGTCTTCAATTAAATTAATTAATTCTTGAAAAGTTGTTACATTTTTGCTTAAAATTTTTTGTCTAAATAAGTTTACACATTTTTTATAATCTACAGATTTTACCTCATAATCAACTTTTGGTTTATGGAACTGCACAGATGTTTTAATATCAAGTAATATAAGTTTATGATCCGAAATTGCATTTTCTTTAACACTGACTCTACAACTTACATTACTACCATAATCGCTAAGAACATGGTCTATAACAGATTTTGACGAATTGCTAACTCTAGTAGCACACTCCTCATTTATCGTATTATTAATTTTAAAACTGTTTAATGCTACTTGCTACTTGTGAGACTTCTAGCAAATTAATATTCATATCCCCAACAATTAAATGATTTTTAGGATGAGTACGCATAATAGATTCCAAACAATGAAAAAAATTTTTACTATTTACAGATGGTGGTTTATATATAACACTAATTTTTAAGTTTTGTTCCCCTAAGCTAATACATATCCAGTTTATTAACTCACATCTGTTTGACTTCTCAATTTCACGAAATTTAATAGATTTCCTCACATAGATAGACACACCACCTCCTCTCAAAGTCGCATTTCAAGGTTGGCACCGATGGTCAGCTCTCAAGGTCGTTTGGCACCGAAGGTCGACGCTCAATGGCGTCCCAGAACATGCAAACCCTATCTACTAATATGAAGTTTAAAAATAAAAATAGTACGCCGCGGTTTTTTTTTGGAAAACGTGCAATTTTTACCTTCAATTTCCTACAAATGATTAATCGTGTTTTTTCCTAGAGTGCATTGTGTTCGTAAAAATAAAAAACAAATTATATAATCAAAGCTTTATTTCAATAAATGTTCAAAAAGACCACCATTCTGACGGATATAAGTGCGGCATCTTTTTAATGAAAATCATTGCTAAATTTCACTTGACAACACTCAAAGATGGAAAGAAGAAACGGTCGACTTGACTTTTACAAAAAAAAAATGGTAGTAGTAACGATAACAACAGTATAACACATAACTTTGGCAAACTATCCTCCCAAGAAACGTCAAGTTGGTATCAAGGCCTCCTATTTTATTTTGAAACTAATTGTATGTCGGTTTTATTTTTCCAAAAACAGTGCATTCTAGGAAAAACTCAAGAGTAGCAAACAGAAAATGAAATTTAAAAAATTGCGCGTTTCGAAAAAAAAAACAGTGACGTACTATTTTTATTTGGAAAAATATTGCCACTAATCCCCTGTATCTCCGTCACTGGTGCGCCCTAATTTTAAGTAAAGACTTTTGAAAAAGGACAGTACTCAGGTAAATCTACATACCAAATTTTAGTTAGTAGTTTTTATTTTTAAACTCCACCCTGTATAATGAATTTCAAGTACTGTCAAATGTTGTTTATTAACACTGTTCGAAGTTTGTCAACTGGTTCCTCAATTTGTTCGGCATGAATCTACCCGAAGAAGCATGTTAGCAAAAGGTGATCTAAATACACTCCCAAAGCATCAGCTATAGTTGTATAGTGTTACTATACAGTGTGCCACTTTCATTTCTTTCAAATTCGATTTATAAGCAAGTAGCACTATTTACTGGAAACAGCGTCGAATTTGATATCGTAGAGTTTTGGGCATATCTCAGTTATCTTAGGAATTTGGGTGTAAGTCTTTACGAGAACTAGGTGTACCTTAAGGTCCCAACTTTAAGAATACCTTGTATAGCAGGATCCTGTTAGAAAAATTGAGCCGTATTGATCTACTAAGTGACATATACATCCGAACACCCAGTTTAAATGGTTTTATTTTAATAAAATTTTGTATAAGTACTTAATGAAGCATAATAAGTAAATGATAAAAATTTAAAAATTATTGCACTGCTTTAAAGGCCTTTGACCTTTAATAATGTGTGGATGTTTCCTGATGTGCTACGCATTCTCCAACGTGCCTAGGCATGCTTCTGATCAGGTGGTCAATGTCCTCCTGTGGTATCTCATTCCAGGCAACCACCAACTCCTCTCGAAGTGCTTCTAGAGTCTGAGGAGGACGTTGCAAATTGAGCAATCTCCTACCCATCATATCCCACACGTGCTCAATTGGGGATAAGTCGGGAGATCTTGGTGGCCATGGTAACAATGTGACATCATCATGTTGAAAGAAGTCTATTGTGACTCTTGCAACATGTGGTCGGGCATTATCTTTTTGGAAAGTTGGATCTGCCAGGGTGTCAAGATAGGGTAAAAGATGGGGTTCATGTTACCTCTGATGAAGATTAAAGGTGACCTGGAACCATAAGCTATAGCAGCCCAAACCATAACTCCAACAGTGTGATGAACATGTCTTTCAACAAAAAACTGTGGATTCCTCCTTTCACCACGTCGCCTTCTAACCCTGGCACGACCATCGTGCATGCCTAAACAAAATCAAGACTCGTCACTAAAGACAATACTGTTCCATTCCTGATCCCAGAGAGACCGTTGTCTGCACCACTCAAGGCGGTTACGTCGGTGTTCTCGAGTTAAAGGGAGGACCCAGTGTGGCCGGTATGAAAACCAGCCAAAACTTCTCATTCGTCGGTAAACACTTCGCATGCCTAATAGGTCTTCGGTGTTCTGCAAACCATTCATTTGCAATGGACCTGGTAGTGTAGAAACGGTCCCTTAAGGCCAATAATCTTAGGCGGCGATCTTCACGGTCTGTTGTTCTACAGCGGCGTCCAGTGCCCCTTGCTCTTTGCGTACGGCCTACTCGAAGCCATGCCTGACAACACCTAACCACAGTGTCTACACTTCTTTGCACTCTAACTGCAATTGCCCGAAAAGAAAGTCCAGCTTCCCGAAGTCCCACTATACGGCCCCTATCAAACTCACTAAGTTGACGAAATCGTACAGGTCTCCGTACTCTAGGCATCGTAACCGATCGTAAAGGATGTCAAGAATCAAAATCCGCCAACGTTGATTCTTTACTGCGGCTGAAATATTCATTTTTAGAGCGTTAGTGAATTAAAAAAAAAACAGTATAAAAACCGGAATGTCCAACTGATAAGGCTGAAAATTTTTTCACTTGTTATTTACAGTAAAATAAATACATTCACCAACTTTTATTAAAATAAAACCATTTAAACTAGGTGTTCGGATTTATATGTCAGTATTAGTAAGTTTTCTGGTACATATTTATAAAGGCTTGGTAATAAACAGGTCTGTACTCACATAAGGTACCGTGTCGTATAAAACCTTGGGATATGATTCATCTAATTCCATTATGGTCGTATTCCATCGCGCACCATCCAAAAACAGACCGTAGACATACACACCATCTGCCGGGGCTTCTGGGAAGTTAGTTCCTCTCAATACCTGTAAATAATCTTAAAATGAGGAATATTTGTGACACAGCGCCCTATTTCAGGTTCATTATCAAAATAAATTATGAATTAGTGCTGAAGTGTACAAGTGCGTGCAAGTGGAAATCACTGGCAAATTTACCAGAATAGATACAACGAATTGCTAAAACTATGTTGAAAATAAAATCTTATCGCGTCAATATTTTGATCTGCTCTCACCTCGTAGTCAAAGGTCAGCAAATCTATTGGGATGGTGTATTTCCTGGCATAGTTTTGCTGCGCTCCCGTGAGGAAAGCTTGAGTGAAGAAGAAGCCCGACAGCCAGAAAGTGGTCGGAGGTCCCTCGTCCATCCATTTCTAAAAGAAAATATAAGTTATCTATCTATCCAGAGCATAAAGTAACAGGGATAGAGGATTAAATTTTTAATCTTCGGTGTTAGGTATTCTCCGCAGGGCACGAAACAACCTTCAATATGCCATATACGAGCCCCTTCCCACTTCAGTTGGCCCAACTATTGAAATCATAGTTTTTTTCTTATCAAACACAAATAATAAAAATGTAGCAGGGTGTTATAGGTTTAAAATATTAACAACGAATATTTTGATCATATAGTAGAAAACACCAACTTTATCACTCCCTAATAAAATTTGCAGCATAAAAATAACACATGTTGCAATTTCAATGCAAAATACTTGTAAGTCTATAACGCACAGGTGGCTGTGAAAAATAAAAGCCATGACAATTGTTTTTATTAATCGCAGCTGTCAGAATTCGTTTAAAATAGTTTTGGGTAGTTAAGGTTTTCAGAATGGGTAGAGGACTTATCGCGGTACAGTGTGAGAAATATTGTTAGAAGATATAACGTAACTGGTTCAGTTAATATAAGACCACGATATGGTAAAAAAAGTAATATCACAAATGCCGACCGTAGAGCATTAAGAAGAATAATCGTGAAAAACAGGAGTGTCAATTATTTATCCTACGGAAAATTACTTTTGTAGGCAGACGACACAAATATCATTTTAACTGACTCATCGCAAGATCGTCTTCAAGAAAAAATTAATGATTCGGTTAATGAGTTCAGTCTATGGTGCTTCAAAAACAGACTAATAATAAATACAAAAAATACCGTTTCAGTTGAATATTTCATGAAACCAAAAATTCCGTCAAATTGTAATTTCAGTCTTCAATGCAAGACAGTTGTAACTTCCAAAAAAACTGTTTTTTTTTTAGGTGTAAGCTTTGATTGCAATTTAAGATGGACAGAGCAAATTGATTCCGTATGTAAGAAACTTGGAAAAAGTCTGTATTTAATACTTACCCTAGGGAGAATGTTAAACACCTCAGCATTAATGGATGTCTACTATGCATGTGTACACTCTATCATTTCATATGGCATTACTGCGTGCGGCCAGGCTAATGAAATCTCTAGAGTGTTTGTCTTACAAAAAAGGATCATTCGCATTATATTTAAAATACGGTCCAGATCTCCCTGTCGTGAGATATTTGTTAAACACAAAACACTTACAGTAGCATGTATATATCTTTATAATCTTTTAACATATATTTTTCAGCACAGAAATGATTATCTTAAGCATACTAACATCCATGACTACAGCACTCGTAATAAAAATAATATAGTTGAGCATGTGTTATATCATACGTTTCATTCAAAATCTCCCATAACAGCAGGAATATACTTTTTAAGTTATTACCTCCGTAGGGCTTTTCAAAAGACGTTTGCGGAACAAGCTATCGGACTGCGGTTTTTATGACCTAGGTGAATTTGTCACATTCCACAGTGCTTCTGATAGATCTTAACAAATAATTTATTGCCATGTGTGTATCATATGGTTTTTTTATGTTCTTATTGGTATTTGTATTTTACTTCCTTTTATCTATATTTTAATCTATATACACCGACTTATCCAATGTCTACAATGTAGATCTAACTGGATCAATAAATGAATCTGAATCTGAATCTTTACAATTAAGTGCACTGCGGAGTGACGCTGTTGGAAGGAGAATTTCGAGGTCCACAACCCATAGAGAGGCCTACAAACTGGGATTAAGCACTTGCAAGGTAAGTTTCCTTATAAAAAAAGTGAAGTAAAAACCCTAAAGTTGCACAACTTGTTTATAGGCCAAAGAAAAGCCACTATTAACTCCACTGCAAAAGAAAAATCGGCTTAGATGGACTAAAGAACATAGACAATGGACACCTCAACAATGGTGTGCAATACAATGGAGTGATGAGGCCCGATTCGAAGTTTGTGTTGGTGACAGTCGCAGTAGAGTTATTCGCAAAAAAAATTAAGCATTCCATGTTGACTGTCTGAAGAGAAAAGTGAAATTTACAGCATCCATTATGGTCTGGGGAAGTATGTCATCAAAAGGAGTAGGAAAACTTCATTTTATTGATGGAAATGTTGATACAAACAAATATTTGGCAATTTTAGAAGAATCGCTTTTACCAGTGATGGAAGAATGTTTGACATCCGGCCAAGATTTTGTGTTTCAGCAAGATGGTGCAGCGTGCCATACCTCAAAAAAGGCTATAAAATGGATGGAAGAAAATAATGTACCACTTTTGAAATGGGTTTCTAGCAGACCAGATCTATCACCTATTGAAACTTTGTGGCACGAGATGAAACAAGTTCTACGACATCCTGCTCGTACAATCACCGAACTGAGACAAAAGCTTCAAGAAATATGGGATTGTTTTACGCCAAATTTTTGCCAAAACTTAGTTAACACCATGCGCCAACGAATTTCAGCCGCAATAAAAAATAAAGGTGATGTTACCCAATGGCAATCTTTCAATTGTTGCTTTGTTAACTTCGCGCATTTATTCGCACATTGTTTATTTGTTCAGATGTTCTACTAGTTATAGGTCTAAATGATTTCAAATATGTATTTTTTACGACTGGAGTGTATCTAAAATGTTTTTGAGAAAATAAATTGTTTTAGAAGTAAATGGTTTCGTCATATTTTGGTACAAATCTTGAAGTGAGCGAACTGAAGTGGGAAGGGGCTCGTAGAATATATACGTAAAAGCAAAATTTGGAACTTTGTGAGACGGAATAGTTCTACACGAAGGTAACGATTTGTATGGCTTTCAGCGGGAAATAAGAATTTAACGTTAGATACAGATAGCGGACTTTGAAGCTTGTAAGTAAAGTAGACATTTTTGCCCGGTCGTATGCAGGGTGTTCCTTAATGATATGCGAATATTTGAGGGTGTGAATCTACATGAAAAATTAATGTTAGTTTACTGTCATCAAAGGAAAACCATTCAAAACAGATCGTTTGTTTTAAATTGAACGGGGAATTCAAAAATAATTGTAATTTGGCAAAAAGTCATTAACCTACCAGCAAAAAATTATTTTTGCAATGAAAAATATGCAACTTTATCAACTTTCACTACGTACTAAATACCAGTGAAATATCTGAAGCGGTTCTGAAAATATTAATTAATTTCCATTTTTTTTTAAACTTCAACACCCCAAGCAAACAAACATTAATTTTTCATGTAGATTCACACCCTTAAATATTCGCATATCATTAAGGAACACCCGTATGATGATCTTCACCTCTCAATAACTTAAGGGCCGCTTTCGAGTCAATCATGTTTCAAAATAACTAACATGAACGAACCAAATACTTCTAAAATGTACTTACTTGCAAGAAAGCAAGTCTTGCCAAGAAGTCATTAACATAACTTCCCAAAGGCTTCAACGATGGATAGGACTTCTTCATCCACATGCCAGGTATTTTTCCAGTCAAAATATTTGTTACCACCTGCTCCAAGTCCACTGACATGACTATTTGACCTATAAAATAACGTTAAATTCAACAGGAACCCCAAAACTTGTCAACGTGTCGTGAACATCTGAAGGCTTAGACCATTCTTTAACTGCAGGAGGTGATCTTTGAACGTCATTTTGAATGTTGCTGGTATCCAGTAGTTCCATAATTATTAGTTTTCAGGGTTGAATCGAAATCACGAATCCATATTTTATTTATTGAATCTTTACTAAGTGACATATAAATCCGAACACCCAGTTTAAATGGTTTTATTTTAATCAAAGTTGGTGAATGTATTTATCTTACTGTAAATAACAAGTGAACAAATTGTCAGCCTTATCAGTTGGACATTCCGGTTTTTATACTGCTTTTTTTTAATTCACTAACGCTTTAAAAATGAATATTTCAGCCGCAGTAAAGAATCAACGTTGGCGGATTTTGGTTCTTGACATCCTTTACGATCGGTTATGATGCCTAGAGTACGGAGACATGTACGATTTCGTCAACTTAGTGAGTTTGATAGGGGCCGTATAGTGGGACTTCGGGAAGCTGGACTTTCGTTTCGGCCAATTGCAGTTAGAGTGCGAAGAAGTGTAGACACTGTGGTTAGGTGTTGTCAAGCATGGCTTCGAGAAGGCCGTACGCAAAGAGCAAGGGGCACTGGACGCCGCCGTAGAACAACAGACCGTGAAGATCGCCGCCTAAGATTATTGGCCTTAAGGGACCGTTTCTCCACTACCAGGTCCATTGCAAATGAATGGTTTGCAGAACACGGAAGACCTATTGGCATGCGAAGTGTTTACCGACGAATGAGAAGTTTTGGCTTGTTTTCATACCGGCCACACTGGGTCCTCCCTTTAAATCGAGAAGACCGACGTAATCGCCTTGAGTGGTGCAGACAACGGTCACTCTGGGATCAGGAATGGAACAGCATTGTCTTTAGTGACGAGTCTCGATTTTGGTTAGGCATGCACGATGGTCGTGCCAGGGTTAGAAGGCGACGTGGTGAAAGGAGGAATCCACAGTTTTTTGTTGAAAGACATGTTCATCACACTGTTGGAGTTATGGTTTGGGGTGCTATAGCTTATGGTTCCAGGTCACCTTTAATCTTCATCAGAGGTAACATGAACGCGCAGCGTTATATCCACGAAGTTCTAGAACCCCATCTTTTACCCTATCTTGACACCCTGGCAGATCCAACTTTCCAACAAGATAATGCCCGACCACATGTTGCAAGAGTCACAATAGACTTCTTTCAACATAATGATGTCACATTGTTACCATGGCCACCAAGATCTCCCGACTTATCCCCAATTGAGCACGTGTGGGATATGATGGGTAGGAGATTGCTCAATTTGCAACGTCCTCCTCAGACTCTAGAAGCACTTCGAGAGGAGTTGGTGGTTGCCTGGAATGAGATATCACAGGAGGACATTGACCACCTGATCAGAAGCATGCCTAGGCGCGTTGGAGAATGCGTAGTACATCAGGGTGCATCCACACATTATTACAGATCAAAGGGCTTTAAAGCTGTGCAATCATTTTGAAATTTTTATCATTTACTTATTATTCTTCATTAAGTACTTATACAAAATTTTATTAAAATAAAACCATTTAAACTGGGTGTTCGGATTTATACTTAGTATAGTTTACCTTTGATGGCTTTCTGCACATTTTTCAAGCTTGTTCTGATGGTGGCAAGCAACAAGTTGAACCTAGTCATCTCTTGTACCAGCACAGTGTTCATGCTTTGCGAATATGTGACTGGATACTTCTCATTCGCAGCATCTCTATCAAAATTTGCCGGTAATCGAGATAGAATATCGTCAGCAACTTCGGTGACCACTTCGTCAGGCGATTTTGCGCTACTCCCTGATTGCATGGCATCCTAAGTAAAAAATAGATTAATACTCACCATAAAGCTCCAAAATGGAACGGAGTAGCGTACGTCACTGTGAACGCGGTGTGTCTAACTATAGCGACATATTTATAATTAATTGATGGTTGGAATTTGGGCTGAAACAGTCAAAAAATTCTATTTTATAACCTCTTCAGTCCCAAGAAATTGTTTTTTTTTTCTTTTCTTGAAATTTTAGGTAAAATAACTTTGCCAGGATTCAAAAAAAGCAAGAAAATATATTTTACAAATAAACTTTACTTCAAAAAAAATATATAACATGTCCAGTATTTTGGACAAATGGACTCGACTATCTAATTATGAAATTCAAAGAAACATTGCCTTTCTGGAGAAATACACAAATATATCTCACATTTTACACAGAAAAATCTTGTTTTTTTTGTACAACCTAGATTACGGCAGCGCATATAGGAATTTTTGTTATTTACACTGCATATTGGTAAATGTTCATTAGCAGTGGTCCTAACATCTCTTGGTGGTATCTCCGACTTCTTGCATTTTTTAGCAGGTCGGCTCGATTTTTCATCTGGGGTGGATGGTCTAAGATCTTGGGAAACTGTTGTTTGTGCCCCAATCGCAAGACATTTTCCAATATACAGTTTGAATTCAAGTAAATCCATGATTGAGCTTTTCCTATCTCCACGAGCGTTGCAGTTTTGTCGGTATTCGATCCATGAATTTGTGATTGCTAGATCGATAAAATGCCAGAAAACTCTCACTGGCCATTTTTTGGTTTGCATACAGATTCGATAATAAGATATTAGTCTATCACACAAGTCTACTCCTCCCATAGAATGGTTGTAACTATACTAAGTGACATATAAATCCGAACACCCAGTTTAAATGGTTTTATTTTAATAAAATTTGGTATAAGTACTTAATGAATCATAATAAGTAAATGATAAAACGATTGCACTGCTTTAAAGCCCTTTGACCTTTAATAATGTGTGGATGCACCCTGATGTGCTACGCATTCTCCAACGCGCCTAGGCATGCTTCTGATCAGGTGGTCAATTTCCTCCTGTGGTATCTCATTCCAGGCAACCACCAACTCCTCTCGAAGTGCTTCTAGAGTCTGAGGAGGACGTTGCAAATTGAGCAATCTCCTACCCATCATATCCCCCACACGTGCTCAATTGGGGATAAGTCGGGAGATCTTAGTGGCCATGGTAACAATGTAACATCATTATGTTGAAATAAGTCTATTGTGACTCTTGCAACATGTGGTCGGGCATTATCTTGTTGGAAAGTTGGATCTGCCAGGGTGTCAAGATAGGGTAAAATATGGGGTTCTAGAACTTCGTGGATATAACGCTGCGCGTTCATGTTACCTCTGATGAAGATTAAAGGTGACCTGGAACCGTAAGCTATAGCACCCCAAACCATAACTCCAACAGTGTGATGAACATGTCTTTCAACAAAAAACTGTGGATTCCTCCTTTCACCACGTCGCCTTCTAACCCTGGCACGACCATCGTGCATGCCTAAACAAAATCGAGACTCGTCACTAAAGACAATACTGTTCCATTCCTGATCCCAGAGTGACCGTTGTCTGCACCACTCAAGGCGATTACGTCGGTGTTCTCGAGTTAAAGGGAGGACCCAGTGTGGCCGGTATGAAAACAAGCCAAAACTTCTCATTCGTCGGTAAACACTTCGCATGCCAATAGGTCTTCCGTGTTCTGCAAACCGTTCATTTGCAATGGACCTGGTAGTGGAGAAACGGCCCCTTAAGGCCAATAATCTTAGGCGGCGATCTTCACGGTCTGTTGTTCTACGGCGGCGTCCAGTACTCCTTGCTCTTTGCGTACGGCCTTCTCGAATCCATGCCTGACAACACCTAACCACAGTGTCTACACTTCTTTGCACTCTAACTGCAATTGCCCGAAAAGAAAGTCCAGCTTCCCGAAGTCCCACTATACGGCCCCTATCAAACTCACTAAGTTGACGAAATCGTACAGGTCTCCGTACTCTAGGCATCGTAACCGACCGAAAAGGATGTCAAGAACCAAAATCCGCCAACGTTGATTCTTTACTGCGGCTGAAATATTCATTTTTAGAGCGTTAGTGAATTAAAAAAAAGCAGTATAAAAACCGGAATGTCCAACTGATGAGGCTGAAAATTTTTTCACTTGTTATTTACAGTAACATAAATACATTCACCAACTTTTATTAAAATAAAACCATTTAAACTGGGTGTTCGGATTTATATGTCACTTAGTATATAAAAGAAATAAGTCAGAATAATATTTTCTTTTCTAACGCAAAACAAAAGCTCGCACTTGAGCGTAGTAGAGGTCTCCTCTCAATGTGTAATATCCACTATAAGAAGAATTGGTTGAACAAAACTTACCATCCACAAATCCTGAAAGCGGGTTGATTAAAGAAGATACAGTCAGTAATGGTAGAATTTATACAATAACTATACAGGGTGTCCGCAAAGTTGGGGTTTTCCTTTTCAGAAACAACTACCCTTGAAATAACAAAGGTAATGTGTAGTGAAACGAGGGTGACCAAGTAAAAAAAAATAAAGGTAAAAGTAATCATTCTCCAGTTGACGAGAAGTGCTAAGTACGTATCTGCCCGAAATCATACCGCTCCAACAGAAAATAAAATCAGCTGATGCGCTACCGAGCAGAAGCAGGCAAACAAGGAAGGCAACATGTTGCGTAAAAAGTCTAGGTATTGCATCCCGTCCAATCGATTTGGGAGAATAAATCGTCCAATGAGCATACCGTTCACCATGCCAGGCCAAACATTCACCGAAAATGTTGAAAATGTGCCCGACGGACAGCGTGCGGATTTGCTACTGACCAAACATGAGTGTTGCGAAAGTTATTCACCCTATTACGCGTGAACGTAGATTCATCTGTCACCAATATGCACTTCAAAAAGTCCGGATTTATACACTTTAGTTTTTGATACTTGCACTTCTCTAGCCACGTCTCTAGTGCTTGTTGTTTTTTGGAACGCAATCGATTATATGGGTTCGTTTACCTCTACACGCGTGACCGTAAGCTTCGGTTGAAGGTTGCATACTGACCTGACACACTGACCCCGACCCAGTTCTGTCGTCGGGTTGAGCTAGTGTCCTAGTACCACTCGGGGATGTCGCGGCTACAGGACGGTATTCAGATATTTTTGATGTTGCAGAGCCCTTTATCTCGGTTCCCTTAAGACATTGGTGTATATGATACTAAGAAAAATTGCTTATGTTTTCAAGATCTACACGTCGTGTAAAGGAAAACCCCAACTTTGCGGACACCCTGTATATATTATAGAAAGAGAGCAAGTAGTATACCACTTAGACATGCACTAAAAGCAAACTGAAAAATTGAATATTCTTGAGCTACTTACGATCCGGTCCTGTTGTGAGGATAAGCAGAAAAGGAAAAACCATGTAGTAATTGATCGATACTTTATAAGAGCAAATGTACATACAAGACTTAAACCTCATATAAATACGCAGTAATGGTAGAAAAGAAACAACTGCAAAAAATGAGTATCCTTGAAGTTTTCTTGTACCTGAGTAAGCAATGTGCTGGTAAACAGTAGTGATGTTTCTTGCTGATCCTTCATGATATCAGCATTTTCATGCATTCCAAACACTTCTGGATTGGTAATGAGCGGCAAAGATTTTGTGTATGCCATGAAATCATCGTATTCTGTTTTGTCAGGACAGTAGTATTTACCTGAAAAAAAATCATCCTCAAGAAGCAACTTTGAATCTGGGGTACCTTAACTTATTTACATTCATAACAAGCTAATACTAATCTACAGCGTTTCAAACTAGAAGGTAAGAAAATGAGAATCTTTGAAATTCTCATCAATTTCAACCCATATTCTGGTACTCCATAACAATATTTGGAAATCAACATATCTCTAATGGTACATACCCCAAGTAACAATTATCACTCCTATTAGAGTTGCAAAAATGATTATACAGTTATTCCTTACACAGCATTGTATACTTTAATAACATTGGCAAAACCCTCTTAGAATAGCTATACAAGCGGAATGGGCACACCTAATAGGACACTTCAGTCATTTAAGAGGTTGTATAAGTGCTGCAGGTAACAATTATAAAACAAAAGTGTAAGCCCCTTGCAGCCGCTATAGGACATTTGCGTCAGTGCAAGATTCAGTTTTTGTCAACTATGCAACTATTCTGTTACGTGATTCTACTTTATTGCAACCAAACTGTTTCTTATGTATTGCATAGACGAAGTGAGGAATATATAACTAACACATTACAGTCATCTTGTTTACTTACATATCGGCCATTGTGAATTTCATACACAGAGGTATATGATAAACTTCTACACTGTGATATAGGGCTATTGAATTACTTGCGCAGCAAATTTTATTGTGATTATCGTGCAAAGTAATTTCTACGGGCTTCTTATTTCATGCATATTTTGATAATGATTAAAAGTATGTCTAGATTTTTAAGATGGAAAACTGAACTTATCTGCGTCAAATCTTCCACAAATTCTATATTTAGACACAATTACACTAATGTTTATCACTTTATATCTGTAATTTCGAACTGAAACATAATTATTTAATATTAAATAGAGGAATAAATGTTTGCCCAATATGGCTGGTGGTTGTGTATAATCATGGCATCGTCCATGTTGTCTTCAGTTTATTAGAATATTTTGGTGTTGCCTGCAGGTGTTTTACAACAATTTGACAAATGTCTGAAATGAAATACTGACAGAATTTGTACCAGATCTATATCTTCTGTTTGAACAGTTGATAGAACCTTTTGAACCAATATGCATGCGTTGTTTGTCTTAAATCATTGGTTATGGCATTTTAACAAAAATATGACAGCAGAAAGTTAGGTTATGGTGAAGTTTTATACCAACATATTTAGCATATGTACAGCCTTTAACAGTTACTAAACAACAGTTGTATAAGTGCTTCCGTTGGGAGCAACTTGTTGGCTAAAGTAGTAATATGCACATCAAAACAACAAGGCTCGGGTTTGTTTTATAAACGTTACCATGGATGCCACAATACAACCATTTTGACTAACGTGCAAATATGCCCTATAAAATAGTTATATAAACGTTTATGAAACAGTTAAAAATTTGTCCCATAAGGTGTTGTATAACTATGCTAAAGAATATTTTAAACACCTCGTTTTAGAGCAAATATGTTGCAGAAAGCAAATTTGCATTCCACACAACATTAAGCCAGCATTTTGGTGTTCAGGCAACAACAATAGAGAGCTTTTATGGCTGAATGGTTCTTTTATCAAAAGCTTATAGCACTACTTTGCTAGTTGGCACGTGTCTTATATTCCGATACCGATTCTCTTATCAATATTCGCACGAAAATAAAAATGTTTTACCTGTAGGATCGAAAGGAAATTCTGGAGTTTCGACTAGCTCCTTACAATAAAACTTTGCTAAAATTGTGCCTAGGCATCGCCTATCCCAATCGTCTGTCACTCTTCCCCCATAATTGCATTCTCCTGTCAAATACAGCAATGCGTCGTACTGAATATCCTAAAAACGAAGATTTCTTACATTATAAGTCAACTATTTCATTTTTAAGCTGAAATACAGTTTGCGCTATGCTCCCACAAGTACCATAAAACTGAAGCATCGTATGTACGAGTACATACACATAACACTGCCTGACATTTGGTAGTGTCGAGTGTTATCAACTATTTTGTATAACTAGGTAGGTAGAGGTTTGCCGGTACGCAGTACCTAGGTAATGTTAACATTAACTTACCTCATAATCGTTCAGGAACATTTGCAGTTGAGTGACACTGATCCTGAGGTCAGTCTCGTTGAATTCGTAAGGGATGTTCCAACCGAGAGGTCCAAATTTTCTTCGTTCTTGCACTGTAGCGTGAAAGAAACAGAGCGCGTATAACAGCCTTTTGAAGGGTATTGGCTGTTTGCTGTTTTCGAACCATTCCAGGTCTGATATTGGGTCACTCAGGTAAGATCTGAAAATGGCAAATTGATGTTGGCAATCCATATTACCAGTTTAACCAAGGAAGTAAAGACAGAGTTGTTTCTAGTATTGGAGCACAGACCTTCCAGATCTTTGACATATCATGTAGAAGTAATGCAGATTAAGGGTTCTGGATCAACATTAGGCTGTGATACCGAAACAAAATGAATGTTCGAGGATCGTCTAAGGCTTTTTGAAAGAAGTAAAGATCTGTCTTTTTATCTACTGATAAAACAAACTGAGAAAATAGCAAGAACCCTCTAGTTTGGTAAGTTCATTAAAGTTGTTACTTTAAATATTTATTCACCTTTACAAGAGCTTACATACTCAAGTATTTAAAAAAAGATGTTGTGGTGCTTAGGAGAAATTATAAAAGAACACAAATCGGATAAAATTCAATGCACATGCTAAGCTTTATCTTTCATATTTTTAATCAACTTGGGAGATTCGATGAATCAAAAACTGGTGTGACAACAATTACTTAACTTTCAATGAAAGTAAGACTAAATCTATAACAATTAAATGCTCCCTTTGATTTTTCAAATTTAAATAAAGAGTTGATACACAAAATAGTCACTGTCAAATTTTTGGGACTGACTAGTAAAAATTTCCTTCTTTATAAGAACAATTAGTTACAACATAGCAAGCAGCTACTTATTACGTACTTGAAAGTGGATTGTTTCCAAAATTGTTTAAAAAAGTGGTAATTCATAAAATTGAACTATAATATAAAATATAACTGAAAGAAATCCTAGGGCAATATGCAGCTAATGTTCGCTTTAGAAATAGAAACTTTTATTATTAAAAAAAATCGAAATTTTAAATATTAAATATAAGTTACGTTAATAAACAAAAACAAGTTCTTAAATTAGTTCTACCTAAAACATCACTTGAGAAAGACTCAATGGTCTGAAAATGTTCGTGTCTCGGTGATGCTATCAATAGAATCAACAATTTAAAGAAATTCCGTAGTGAACTTAAGACACTTTATAACATGTTAAACATGTGTGAGTTCTAAAATTCACCTACTTAAGGTCCACATATGTAATTGTGTTATATACTAAGTGACATATAAATCCGAACACCCAGTTTAAATGGTTTTATTTTAATAAAATTTTGTATAAGTACTTAATGAAGCATAATAAGTAAATGATAAAAATTTCAAAATGATTGCACTGCTTTAAAGCCCTTTGACCTTTAACAATGTGTGGATGCACCCTGATGTGCTACGCATTCTCCAACGCGCCTAGGCATGCTTCTGATCAGGTGGTCAATGTCCTCCTGTGGTATCTCATTCCAGGCAACCACCAGCTCCTCTCGAAGTGCTTCTAGAGTCTGAGGAGGACGTTGCAAATTGAGCAATCTCCTACCCATCATATCCCACACATTGGGGATAAGTCGGGAGATCTTGGTGGCCATGGTAAAAATGTGACATCATTATGTTGAAAGAAGTCTATTGTGACTCTTGCAACATGTGGTCGGGCATTATCTTGTTGGAAAGTTGGATCTGCCAGGGTGTCAAGATAGGGTAAAAGTTGGGGTTCTAGAACTTCGTGGATATAACGCTGCGCGTTCATGTTACCTCTGATGAAGATTAAAGGTGAACTGGAACCATAAGCTATAGCACCCCAAACCATAACTCCAACAGTGTGATGAACATGTCTTTCAACAAAAAACTGTGGATTCCTCCTTTCACCACGTCGCCTTCTAACCCTGGCACGACCATCGTGCATGCCTAAACAAAATCGAGACTCGTCACTAAAGACAATACTGTTCCATTCCTGATCCCAGAGTGACCGTTGTCTGCACCACTCAAGGCGATTACGTCGGTGTTCTCGAGTTAAAGGGAGGACCCAGTGTGGCCGGTATGAAAACAAGCCAAAACTTCTCATTCGTCGGTAAACACTTCGCATGCCAATAGGTCTTCCGTGTTCTGCAAACCATTCATTTGCAATGGACCTGGTAGTGGAGAAACGGTCCCTTAAGGCCAATAATCTTAGACGGCGATCTTCACGGTCTGTTGTTCTACGGCGGCGTCCAGTGCCCCTTGCTCTTTGCGTACGGCCTTCTCGAAGCCATGCCTGACAATACCTAACCACAGTGTCTACACTTCTTTGCACTCTAACTGCAATTGCCCGAAAAGAAGGTCCAGCTTCCCGAAGTCCCACTATACGGCCCCTATCAAACTCACTAAGTTGACGAAATCGTACAGGTCTCCGTACTCTAGGCATCGTAACCGATCGTAAAGGATGTCAAAAACCAAAATCCGCCAACGTTGATTCTTTACTGCGGCTGAAATATTCATTTTTAAAGCGTTAGTGAATTAAAAAAAAGCAGTATAAAAACCGGAATGTACAACTGATAAGGCCGAAAATTTTTTCACTTGTTATTTACAGTAAGATAAATACATTTACCAACTTTTATTAAAATAAAAGCATTTAAACTGAGTGTTCGGATTTATATGTCACTTAGTATAGTTTAGCCTTAAGCTAGTTTTGTCATTGTGAATAATTATTTTCTCCATAAAACAAAGCATGTGCATCTATCTATCTCAATTGCTGTATGTCGAAAATTTCCATAAATATTATCAGGAAACAAGGCCGATCTTTGCGCACCTCCTTTAGCTCTATATTTAAGAATCATCCGGCAAGATTAAACAAATTACCTGATTATATTGTTCTTGAGACCCTTGGGTGGTTCATTTGTCATTTTAACACTGTTCTGCAAAACTAAAACTGGAAAGTGATCTGCTGGATAGGACGTCAACCATAGTCGAAAGTCTGGATGCGTAGAATCAGGTGTCAAATTTTCGCATATCTAAAAAAAAGTTTAAACGGATCGGATGCCTTAAAAGTATCCAAAATGGAGTTGACAGGAAATGTATGGGGTTGTCCAAAACGAACGCAGGAAAGTAAACGCATATTAAAACAAGAAAGATTGATATTCAAATCAAGTTGGGTACTTTATTTTGAAGGTTTATTTATACCATTTATCTATGAAAAATAATATCGCTCAAATGTTCACCACGACTGGATTTACAGACGTCCACGCGATGGTCGAAATTTTCAATGACATTTTGCAACATGATCGGTTCTATGGCATTTATGTCGGCAATGATGTTGTTTTTCAGTTCTTGGAGGGTGGCTGGTTTGTTGACGTAGATTTTACTTTTCAAATATCCCCATAAAAAGAAGTCCAAGGGAGTCAAATCGCACGATCTTGGTGACCATGGCACATTTCCTCTGCGCGAAATCACGCGATCACCGAAGAAGGACTGCAATCGATGGATATGATGTTGGTTGTGTGGTATGTTGCACCGTCTTGTTGGAAATAAACATCGTCCATATCCATTCCTTCAAGTTGCGGCAAAAAATAATCCTCTATCATCACGTGATATCGCTCAGAATTGACGGTAACGCCGTCCCCGACCGCATTTTCGAAAAAGTAAGGTCCGATGATGCCTTTTGACCACAATGCACACCACACAGTCACTTTTTGAGGATGCATCGGCTGCTCTTGATACTCACGGGGATTTTCGTTCTCCCAGATGCGGCAGTTTTGCTTGTTTATCGTCCCATTTAAAGTGAAATGCGCTTCGTCGCTGAACATGATTTTTGATGAAAAATTGGCATCAATTTGGCGGTGTTCAAGGAGCCAATCTGAGAACGTTCGGCGCGAAAAATGGTCGGCCCGACGCAGCTCTTGCGTCAGTTGGATCTTGTAGGCGTGTACATTCAAATCCTTGTGGAGAATGCGGAGCAAACTGGTTCTCGAAATGCCCAATTCTTGGGATCGACGCGTTGTTAATTGTTTCGGATCGTCTCTCACACTCTCCTTCACAACAGCAATATTTTCCGGTGTGCGAACGCTCCTTGGCCGGCCAGAGCCTGGCAGATTTGCCACAGAACCTGTTGCCTCGAATTTACGCACCAGACGACCGATGGTTGTTTCGTTTGGGCGGTTGTTGCGACCGATATGTTCACAAAGCGCGCGAAACGTGTTTTTTATTTTTGCACCATTTTTGTAGTGCTCTTGAATAACTTTAATGCGGTCTTCAATCGAATACGACTCCATAGCGATCAATGGTAAACATTCAACTAACAAAATGACATGTCGGTGACAGAAAACAAAGATGGCGTCTATGTCAAATTGACTTTTACTTTCCTGCGTCCTTATTGGACAACCCTTACATTCCTTTCACTTAAAGGGTATATACAATATTTTTACTGTCTGGACTAAAAAATACCGAGTGTTTATAACAAGTCAAAATGCAATGATAAATGTTTTTGATCGAGCCAATTTGAAGGGTACTATTATAATCTTTCAAAAATATCCAAAAAGGTAAATTACTTCTATAGAATGTCGCATAGCCTAAGTGTTGATTCCAAAATAATTCTATACAAAACTATCATTCTTCCTCATTTATTAAATTGTTTGACTATTTTGTTCACTACAAACGAAACTGTATTTTCAAAATTAAAAATATTACGAAAGAAAGCTATGAGAACCATCTTAAATAAAAATACTCATATACTAGAATGAATTTTATGCTGACTGAACGGCAATGGTTAAATATCAAAAATTAAGAAATCATCTCCTACCAAATCATTTAGAAAATGTTATTGTCTTCTACTAAAGCAAGTATAGACTTCCATTAACAAAATTATAGTAGCAATATAAGGAATGAATCAGTATTTCTAAAAGGATTGTACGAATTTAACAAATTAAATAATGATATCAAGATCTATGCACAATTTTAGAATGTTCAAGGGGTAATTGAACAAATATCTTATGGAAGAGCAAAATTTGTAGAAAGAAAAATCATAAAATATTATATATGATACTGTGAAACATTGATATTGTAGAAATAATGCTAGATAACAACAACAAACAAACAGAACTACGTCTTACCCTCTCCAAGCTGGGCATAAAACTCTTAGCCAAATGACAATTCTGCAATACCACCCAAGTACCATTCTTGACGCCATCGTCAATCAACCTAATAGCAATAGGTCCTTGTCCTTGCCCTAAGGACAAGGAGAACAATCTGGCTGCCCCGAACCCTTGGTCATCAGCGAACTTCAAGAGTACAGCCGTGGGGTCAGCGCCAGGTGTTAGTACAAAGATCAGTGGGATACAGCAGTGCGAATCGGCGAAAGAAGACGGCAGGTCGAACGGTGGAGGTTCGATGTACTTCTTGCCCAACATGTCTAGAAATAAAGTGTTTTGAATGGTTTCTCTGTACAGCGTGACCCGGTTTTATCTTCCCGCCTAAATCTAAGCATCTTAGAAGGAAAGTTTCACGTAAGAGTTTAGGGTTTCGAGAGAACAAAATGATGGTGCCCTTGACCATGATGTTCACTGGTGCCGTCAAGGTCACTTCAACGTAAATCGAATATGCAAATTGAAACCCTCATTACACTGATCAACAGCCAAAAAATATCCTGAATAAAATCAACAAAATATTACTATTTTTAATGTGCCAAAACCGGAATGAAACTTATTTTTTCAATATTAGTTGAAGTTTTAAAGATACGGTAATTATATGTGTTCCTGCTATGACAGTGTTAATATACTGTAATTCACAAGAATGCACGTGCTACATTTTTATATTCGGCAAGGAAAGATGATGTAATCGGCTTGATTGTGTAACGTTATACATACGTGTACATTATATTGTTTTATATTAGTCATTTTTTCCTCAGTTGGCTGACAGCGTTCATGCAAGATGTCTCGAAAGTGTGTAAACAATCCAGATCAGTTTTGTTACGTGTGTGGTGATGTGACTTTCGCGTCTCAGAGACGGTCTATTACTCCACTAATAACAAACGCATATCAGCTTTATTTCGGTTGTAAACTAGGTGATCAAGACAAACAGTGGGCACCCCACATCTGCTGTAATACATGTGCTTCAAGTCTGAGGAGCTGGTTAAATGGCAAAAAAACGGTCTATGCGCTTTGCTGTCCCAATGGTTTGGAGAGAGCCTACAAATCATATTAATGATTGTTACTTTTGCATGGTACCTTGTGTTGGACAAGCCACAGGTATGTCCAAGAAAAAAAAAATCGGTTATTAACTACCCAAACATACCATCTGCGATGAGACCTGTGCCTCACAGTGACGAAAATCCTATTCCAAAACCCGCAGAATCCTACACTTACGAATCAGAAAACGAATCAGATCATGGCGATCGAGTGATTCGTCAGGAAGAAGATATGCCATCAACGTCAAGAGATCCTGATTTTATACCGAGCACGTCATGCCACCAACCGCACAAAATAACACAGTCAGAATTAAATGATCTTGTAAGAGATTTAGAACTTCCAAAATGTAAGGCAGAGTTACTTGGATCAAGACAGCAGCAGTGGAACTTGTTAGAAGACGATGTTTCGGTATGTGTTTTTCGTAAACGCCACAAAGACTTAGAACCATTTTTCAATATGGAGTATAACTTGGTTTTCTGCAGTAATATTAACGGCTTACTGGCGGCTTTAAATATAAACTATAACCCAGAAGAATGGAGATTGTTTATGGACAGTTCAACATTGAGTTTAAAGGCAGTGTTATTGCATATTGGAAATATTTTACCATCTCTTCCTGTAGGGTATGCAGTTCACATGAAAGAATCATATGACAATATGAAGTACCTATTGACATGCATAAAATACGATGAGCACCAATGGCATATTTGTGGCGATTTGAAAGTTGTTGCACTTTTACTTGGGCTGCAGCTAGGCTACACAAAGTTTTGCTGTTTTTTGTGTAAATGGGACAGTCGGGCAAAGGCACTTTACTACACCAGACAAAACTGGCCTGTTCGTCAATTCCTAGAGCCAGGTCAAAAAAATGCATAGCATATGCCATTAGTAGATTCGAAAAAAATTGTATTACCAACCACTGCATATCAAGTTGGGCCTAATGAAAAACTTTGTCAAGGCATTAGATAGAGATGGGTCAGCTTTTCAATACCTGCGTCAGAAATTTCCAAGACCAAGTGAAGCAAAGGTTAAAGATGGTATTTTTGTTGGGCCACAGATTCGAAATATTTTGAAAGATACACAGTTTGAAAACACTTTAACAGGTATTGAAAAAACTGCTTGGAATGATTTCCGTCTGGTGGTCACTAATTTCTTGGGAAATAGAAAAGCTGACAACTATAAAACCCTTGTCAAAAATATGCTGTCATCGTATCAAAAGATGGGCTGTAATATGTCTCTTAAGATACATTTCCTACACTCCCACCCTGGACTTTTTTCCTGACAATTGCGGAGCCGTAAGTGATGAGCACGGCGAACGTTTTCATCAGGATATTTCAACAATGGAAAAAAGGTACCAGGGAAAGTGGAATCCTTCCATGCTTGCAGACTACTGTTGGACTCTTGGTAGAGATGCTCCAGAAACGATCCATAAAAGAACAGCAAAAAGACAGCGCATATAGTGATTCTTATAAGTATATGAATCTTGTTACTTTTTTTAATATATCCTTAAAAATAAAAAGTTTTTTTTTAAACCGCAACTAATTTTTTTATTTCATTGTCATTTTTTGATTCAGCGCCCCAAAATTAACAAAGAAGTGCACTTTTCCCACAAGATACAATTAAAAAACTAAAATTTGTTGTCCAGTGATTATTACACCGGAATTGGAAGGAAGAGACAATGTTCAAGGGCATGGTCAAGTACACGGTCATATTCAAGGCCATGGTCAAGATTATGGTCATTGTCAAGGTCACGGTCGTGGTCAAGGTCATGTTCAAGGTCATAGTCAATGTCATTATCACTTTCATTTTCAAGGTCATGTTCGAGGTCATGGTAACGGTCCCAAAACATCTTTTTATCTTTAACCAGCGCAGTCATGTCAGATCTACTATACACGTGCAGTTTTCCTCAAAACTTTAGCTAATATAAAATATCTAAACCTATTTAATACCCCAAACCTAAAAAGAAACAAAATTTGGTATCTGCAGAAGGCAGTTTCTCACGTAACGGTTATTTTTCATGAAATTTTTGAGAAACAGACGATCTTGATGCATACGTGTTGTTTTGACAAATCGTCAATCTGGACCGTAGAAAAAATAATGTTATACCTGTAACAAAAATCTGTATAGCGGGAACAATTTTATCGAATCGAATACATCTGAGTACAGCGAGTTTTTGTAAGGCACTCAGTTTCTTGTCCCATGGAGGAGGCATAGGGTAATTTTGTGGTTCGCTGGAATCGAATATTTTCTTCCAGTCTGTCGTATTTTTCTTAAAATGCTCCATTAAACCACTGAAAATAGAAATAGAAATTTTTTAAACGGAAGTTCGGCCCACTCATATCATTTTTCTGATCGAGAAATAGGATAAAGAAAGTAATTACGCAAAACTAGGCAAGTCGTTCAGCCTGCAAAGTTCATCCCAGCATTTTCCTACAAGCCAATCCGTAGGATTTGGGTTTGGGTTATCCAGACCTACCCCTCCAGTTAGAAGGAACATCCATTCACTGGAATCAATTTCTCCTCGACTTTTCATCAAGTTGATTGCCAACAGTAAGGAGAACAACAGCTTATCCTAAAAAAATGTTTTACTACTGGTACAGAAATTCAAATTACCATTGTACTGTCAGAAAAAGGACACGATCGATAAACGGGTATCTTCTGTACTTACCTTTTCAAATAAGCTTCTACAAATGTTAACATACAAGGAATATGTGAAGTAAGCTTGCAGATCTTTCAATCGCATAGGGACATCCTCCACTTTATCCGTGTTATCAATGGCAGCTTTGAACAGATTCATGAACCACACCAACGAGTATTGGTACATTGGGTCAATGTTAGCCAGATCAGCTGAAAATAAGTGTTTGAAAGTCTCAAAATTTTCAAAATTCCAAATATTCTCAAACTTTTCTGAATTCTCTGAATTCTCTGAATTCTCCGAATACTCTGAATTCTCTGAATTCTCTGAGGTCTCTGAATTCTCTGAATACTCAGAATACCCTGGATTCTCTGAATTCTCTGAATTCTCTGAATTCTCTGAATTCTATTAATTCTCTGAATTCTATTAATTCTCTGAACTCTGAATTTTCCGAATTCTCCAAATTCTCCGTTTTATCTGAGTTCTCTGAATTCTCTGAACTCTCTGAATTCTCTGAATTCTCTGAATTCTCTGAATTCTCTGAATTCCCTGAATTCTCTGAATTTTCTGAATTTTCTGAATTTTCTGAATTTTCTGAATTTTCTGAATTTTCTGAATTTTCTGAATTTTCTGAATTTTCTGAATTTTCTGAATTTTCTGAATTCTCTGAATTTTATGAATTTTCTGAGTGTTCAGAATTTTCTGAATTTTCTGAATTGTTTGAATTTTCTGAATTTTCTGAATTTTCTGAATTTTCTGAATTTTCTGAATTTTCTGAATTTTCTGAATTTTCTGAATTTTCTGAATTTTCTGAATTTTCTGAATTTTCTGAATTTTCTGAATTTTCTGAATTTTCTGAATTTTCTGAATTTTCTGAATTTTCTGAATTTTCTGAATTTTCTGAATTTTCTGAATTTTCTGAATTTTCTGAATTTTCAGAATTTTCTGAATTTTCTGAATTTTCTGAACTTTCTGAACTTTCTGAATTTTCTGAATTTTCTGAATTTTCTGAATTTTCTGAATTTTCTGAATTTTCTGAATTTTCTGAATTTTCTGAATTTTCTGAATTTTCTGAATTTTCTGAATTTTCTGAATTTTCTGAATTTTCTGAAATTTCTGAATTTTCTGAATTTTTTGAATTTTCTGAATTTTCTGGATTTTCTGAATTTTCTGAATTTTCTGAATTTTCTGAATTTTCTGAATTTTCTGAATTTTCTGAATTTTCTGAATTTTCTGAATTTTCTGAATTTTCTGAAGTTTCTGAATTTTCTGAATTTTCTGAATTTTCGGAATTTTCTGAATTTCCTGAATTTTCTGAATTTTCTGAATCTTCTGAATTTTCTGAATTTTCTGAATTTTTTGAATTTTCTGAATTCGCTGAATTGTCCGAATTGTCAGAATTGTCCGAATTCTCCGAATTTTCTGAATTCTCTGAAACCTCAAAATCCTCAAAATTCTCAAAATTCTCAAAATTCTCAGAACTCTCAAAATTCTCAAAATTCTTAATATTATTCAAGCTGTTCACCTATAGTGAAGAAAAGTATAGTAGAATGAGTAGCAATTGGTGTATACTCCAGTCTGGCCTTATCAATTTGCTTCTCAGTAACTTCTGCAACCGCTTGCTTGGCCGCTATATCATTGCTTACTGTTTTTGAAGAGCTCAATATTTGAATCGCAGTTTCGTCTTCCAGGATGTTGCCTTGGGATGTGCTAAGTACCTCTAAGATTTTGTCTTCTATCTCTTTCAAAGCCCTGTACAAATTTAACAAAGTATGTTCAAAAAGTGCGGTATGACATGTAGATAGTAGTTTTCCAAAATCTATGTTTTTGGTAATAACAATATCGTTTATTTCCCAAAATACAATGTGTTAATAAACAAATGCAAATATAACAAAAATAAACAATGTGCCTCAAGGAAGACGTAATTTCCACATTAAAACTTAAGTAGCTCGTACCAACCTTTTATTTTCAGCGCTCTGCAGAATCAAAACGTTTTTCTCAGCCTCTAAATCAGGTCTTTCTTTCGCAACAGTAATGCCCAAAAGTTGATCAGATAATCCAACACTGGTTATCATGAAATTCACCAATGTTACCTTGACTGCAACTTCGGGCAGATAATGAGGATTTCTGAGCTTTGTCGTGATATATAATCTGAAAAATATTAATGTCAAGAGACTCCCAGAGTTCATGTCAAAGGTTTAAGCTGCAATGTAACGTATCAAAAAATTAAGTTGCTTATGTCATGTGCAGAGGAATGATTTTAAAAAGTACTTGAAATCTGAGCTGTATTCTACGACGGAATCTCCGAGCTTCAAACACATGGCGCCACCTTGCTTGAAGACTTGCTGTGCCAAGACAGGTTCCAAAATTGGATCGAGTTCTTCTCCAACATTTTCCAGTAAGACCTAGAATTTTAACTTTAGAACATGTTCGTCGGTTCTGTGACTTGCATACCGGTTGCCCAAACTGAATGGCATTTTCCAAAATCCTGACATAATCTGCCTGATTCAGTCTGATGATGGCAAGATTGTTGGATCTCTCCATGTTTTTGATCCATTTGTTCGCTTGACCTTGAGGATCTATCATCAAGGCGTATCTTCTGGCGTTCCTAAAATTTGGTGTAACGAAATCATTGAAAGTACAAACTTAGTTGTAAACTTCCGGTCACCCTATATGTTTCCTGTTCCTAAATTTTCTAGATAGAAAAATTAACTATATGGGGGAGTCTACACGTATATGATAATTCTAAGAATATGTTTTTTATTGTTATTAAAAAATGATATAATTACGAGATAATGATGCCATTGTCCACGCTGAAACTGTCAGTGGGCAACCCAAAAATATTCCACGCCCTGATAACTACGGGCTCGCCAAGGATAGATGTCAACTGGAAGTCTTCTGTGCAGTAGATGTCATAGCTCTTGAGACTTTTTACCCAGTGTTCTATTTGCGTCTGTCTGTACTGCATTGTGAAAGGGCCCAGGTATGCTACCACACCCGCCGCTATCAATACGTCACCTGAAGATATCAAAATTTTTCAAATTATTCTAGTTATAAAGGCAAACTTTAAGCGCTGGGTCAATTGGAAAAGCCTCGTAGTTAGCATAAGCTTCTTATTGGTTAAGCTCTTAAGATTACCTGTCAGTATATAATACTTCTCGCCAAGTTCCTTAGCAGTAGCCTTCCACCTATCCTTCTCTCCTCCCAGACCACCAATCAGCTCCTCGGCTCTCTGCAGCTTCAAATGGCAAAGATTCACCTCATCCGTGAGGTCACTGAATCTCTTTTCCTCCACCGCTAGCTCAGCTTGCAGCTTGGCCACTCTGTCCCTGGCCTCTTTCAACATGGCACGCTTCAACTCCAGTGCAGCCATGGCTCCCGCGTATGCGGCTTCTGCCACGGCCAAGGCTGCCTTCTTCGGAGCTACCACTTTGGCTACCTTGTCATATTTCGAAATGGCTATCACCCATTTACACAAACCTTGAAGCCAAACAATGGGTATTTAGAACATGATATATTTATACATGTATGTATATTTTGACATTTTTACTATTGTCAAAGACCAGGTAGGACGCTTCTTGTTCGTCAAGGTACAGTACTGTATTTTGGAAGCATTAAATTGTACAAGATTGTTGTGTCTCCAAGGAGTTCCTGCATGTAGAGTGCTGTCATCAGTAAAGCTGTGGATTGGTTTGTTCGTACAGGAGAAGAGGTCGTTGATATGTAAGAGGAATGTGTTTGAGCCGCGACCGATCCCTGGGGAGTACCCGGGTTGGCATTGTGTGATGAAGAGGAGAACCCGTCAATTACGACGGATTTCTTGCGGCCAGAGAGAAAATCAGCCCCCCATCTACAAAGCTTTTATGGGAGGACGCATGATGGAAGTTTGTTTAGCCACAGCGGATCGAACGCTTTCGTGACATCAAGGCGTGCATAATCATTTCTGAGAACTCTTTATAGGGAAGGCAACTTGTTTGCCTGGGAATAACATGAGAGTTATTACATATCAAAGGGAGCGATTATTTAACCTATCAGTTATCAATTTTACGCTAGATGGGATTTTTTATCCTTATTAAATGCAGGGTGTTCTTAAAGTTGTTACATGGCGGTACTTGAAATTGATCAACGAATGAGTGCTATTTCTGCAAAAGAACGTTATTCGATAACCCAGTTATCACTACCATATTAGAGATATAACTTAAAATTACCTTTATGAATGTTTGCAGCTTTACGAGTTTCGACAACAGAGCCGAATAAGGAAAAAATAACCTTACGAAATAAGCTCTCTCTTATTCTTCGTAAACAACAAAGCTCATTATTTCCATAACAGAGGACGAGTTCGTCTTGCTACTGCGCAAACTCAAAATAACGGAAATCATAACGGAGAAGCAAAATAAGATCAATCAATGCTCTCTGTTATATCAAGACTGTCAAGACATTGAAAAATTCCTAACAATAAGGGGATACTTTTAGTAAGAGTAAAAACTATGCATTCCGCTCTTAAATTCGTTACCTTCAGCAGCCGTGGAGGCAGTCTTGATCTTATCAGGATCAAAACTTTCATCGTTCAGGATTTGATGTTTCAGCCTATCCATAATCTTCTGTGGTATGTTGTCTTTGTCAAAGTTTACCAAATTGTCTAGGAACTTAATGTCACCCAAAACTTTCTTCGATGGACCCCAGTAATCCTCCACTGTACCAATACCGCTTGGAGCAGGTATTTTATCTGGTTTTATATCCTGTAAAGTCATTTAACTATTGGTCGAAGATGAAGCTAATTCTGCAACCACCCAAAAATATAATACAATCATTTTACAACTATTAAGAAGTTTAATACCGAAGCCTCCATTTAACTTGATCTGTTTGTACGTGGAAAACAAATCTTGGAACTGAATTTTGAACCAGTTAACCTTAACCAACTGGACTGAAATTTTGTACACATGTATGGTTTGAGTGACAATACAAAATGAATTAACTGCCGCCATTTTGAATCCAATATGGCGGATACTACATAATGGCCATTCATCATATCCATAGTAACCCTATAATACAATGATCAGTGACGTCATTCTAATTCCAATATGGCGGCCGCCTCAAAATCGCGATTTACACTTTTCACAGTCGCCCCTATGACATGGATATCAAATTAAAGGTCTGGATGAGAAAAGTACAATAATCAGAGTGGCTTTATGTCAAATCCATCATGGCAGCCATCACAAAATGGCGATTTAAATTTTTTTATAGTGAGGCCTATCATATGGGTATCAAATGAAAGGTCTTTATGAGATAAATGCAATAAGCAAACTAACTTTATTCTAAATCCAATATGGCGGCTATGTGAAATAACGATTTACATTTTTCACAGTCACTCCTGTGATATGGGTATCAAATGAAAGGGAGTGATGAGAGAAACGCAATAAGCAAGGTCACTTTATTCCAAATCCAATATGGCGGCTGTGTAAAATAACGATTTATATTTTTCACAGTAACTCCTATGACATGGATATCAAATTAAAGGTCTTGATGGGAAAAGTACAATCATCAGAGTGACTTTATGTCAAATCCATCATGGCAGCCATCGCAAAATGGCGATTTACATTTTTTTATAGTGAGCCCTATCACATGGGTATCAAATGAAAGGTCAATATGATATAAATACAATAAGCAAACTAACTTTATTCTAAATCCAATATGGCGGCTGTGTAAAATAACGATTTACATTTTTCACAGTCACTCCTATGATATGGGTATCAAATGAAAGAGAGTGATGGGAGAAATGTAATGAGCAGAGTGACGTTATTCTAAATCCAATATGGCGGCCGTGTCAAAATGGCAATTTACATTTTTTTACAGTCATCCCTATGACATGGATATCAAATTAAAGGTCTGGATGAAGAAAATATAATAATCAGATTGATATTATGTCAAATCCATCATGGCAGCCATCGCAAAATGGCGATTTACATTTTTTTATAGTGAGCCCTATCATATGGGTATCAAATGAAAGGTCTTTATGAGATAAATGCAATAAGCAAACTAACTTTATTCTAAATCCAATATGGCGGCTGTGTAAAATAACGATTTACATTTTTCACAGTCACTCCTATGATATGGGTATCAAATGGAAGGGAGTGATGAGAGAAATCTAATAGGCAGAGTGACGTTATTCTATATCCAATATGGCAGACGCGTCAAAATGGCAATTTACACTTTTCACAGTCGCCCCTATGACATGGATATCAAATTAGAGGTCTTGCCGAGAATAGTACAATAATCAGAGTGACTTTATGCCAAATCCATCATGGCAGCCATCGCAAAATGGCGATTTACATTTTTTTATAGTGAGCCCTATCATATGGGTATCAAATGAAAGGTCTTTATGAGATAAATGCAATAAGCAAACTATCTTTATTCTAAATCCAATATGGCGGCTGTGTAAAATAACGGTTTACATTTTTCACAGTCACTCCTATGATATGGGTATCAAATGGAAGGGAGTGATGAGAGAAATCTAATAGGCAGAGTGATGTTATCCTAAATCCAATATGGCGGCCGCGTAAAATGGTGATTTATATTTTTTTCGCGGTAATCAGTATGGTATGGATATGAAACAAAAGGGAATGATGAGAGAAATGCAATAAGCAAGGTTACTTTGTTCCAATATGGCGAACACTCCAAGATAGCGTTTATGATTACCATAGTCACACCAGTGATATAGGTATCAGATTAAAGGATTTTATGAGAGAAACACAACAAGCAACGAGACGTCATTCTAAATACAAGATGGACGCCGTCACTAATAAGCGTTTGTAATTTCCGTGGTAAACCAGTTATTTGACATCATAAATATTGAAGTGTACGACATGAATAAAATAAAAAACACATTTTTATTAGCTGTTATTGAAGTGAACAACACATTTGAAAAAACTTTTTTAAAATATATTTTTTTATTTTACGTAAATAGCTAATACAATCAGGGAACCATTTGTTACACTTACTTTCAAAATGCAAACAGCCTCCATGACGAGTTTTACTCCTTTGGGAGGATTCTTCATAGTCTTGACCACAGCAATATCTGCAGGCGTCAAAGTATTTAAAGCGGCCAAAGCGGCGTTCAAAATTGGCATTGCTTCAGCCAAGTTCGCGTCGCATTCATCTTTGATTGCTTGGGCTTCCTTCGCTTGTTCACCAGCAACCTCTTCATCCTGGAAGTGTCAAATAGATGAATTAATCGTATCAAGCTCGTTGAAATCATATGAACTGAAGGTCATTAGTTCTGTGCGTAAGGTACTCGCTCTTTGGCTGGAACCAACAGCATGAAGAGTGCTGTCAACGGCAAAGCTGGCAAGACCGATCCTGGGGGACACTTGCGTTGACATTGTGGGACTAAGAGAATCCATGCATTACTACAGATATCTTTCGGATAGAAAGGAAGTCAGCCACGCATCTGCTAAGCTTCTCTCGGAGGCACAGAATAGAAGTTTGCATGAGAGAACAGAAAATTCGTGTTTACTGCACAAATACTAGCTCATTACTTTAATACTAATTCATGATACTTGCAACTAATTTATAACAATTTTATAATCATGTCTACTGGACTATTATTCCATCTTAATTCCACGCCGTTGACGGCCTCGACTGCGATTAAATGTTTCCGCCTTCGGGTCGGATATATATTCACCTGCCGCCGCGTCGAGAAACGTTCTAGCGTTTCCCAGACAGAGTCGTGAACTTCCGTGGGAGTAGTCTAGATGGTATTTCAAATACTCGCGATAGCGCCGCGAACGGTCCAGAATACAAACACGCTCCATACATGGTCGCGCAACTGTGGTTGCCTAAACGTCGATCCCACTTCTGAACAGTTATTCGAGGACGTTACATTTAGACTAATCATTTAGCAAATTTCCCCGAAATAATTGTACGGTCTGGCAGTTCAAGGAGGTATTTAAAACATGGATGTATAAAATGGATACACTAATTTTTATGGGAAAACTTTTTATTCGACAACAAAGAATGAGAAAACGTGTTTTTTGGGATTCAATCCCTTCCACCTACCCTCATGACGGTTTGTTCTACTTCACTGGCTTCTGCCGACTGTTCTAGTACAACTTTCATTTTTGCTTCTACAGCTGCAGCTAAGACGACTAATTGAGGCTGCAGTTTTCTTAAATTTTCTTGCATAACCGATACTTCGGCTCCTGCTAGTTCCAACTTTTCAAGTCCGACTTCGTACCTTTTCTTACCTTTCAGAATCGCACTGAAAAAGATTATTAGAAACATCTAGGTCATCAGTCTGTCGCCATCTGCTCAAACAGCCAGGCGGCCTTAAGCTGGTAGAAGATTGCGTGAGCACTTTCAAAGAGCTCGGAAATTGAAACAATGAAAAATTGCTCTGGTTACCAGGACACAAAAGCCACAAAGGAAATGAAAAGGACCTACTCAGATACAACAGGAAGGCCATAACATGCAAAATGCATGACGAAACCCCAGTGCGTCTCCCGTGTCTCAGCGAAAGCCTAGCAAGGGTACGGTTTGAGATATTGGGAACCATAAATCCAACAGCGGAAAACTACATGCAATGCTATGAAGGATCGGAACTTGACATAGTGCTTTGGAATTGCATATTGGAGAACCATTTGGGTCGCAGTGACCCTAAGGTTAGCAAGCCAATCCCTCTCTTGTGTAATCTACCTTTAAGAATTGCACAAAAAAAGATTATTAGTACCTAGTTAAAGACAGTATCTAGGTGAGTAAAAGTTTGTTGCTAGAGTAAGGGCCAATTTCATCAACAACAGTCCGTTATTCTCCACCTATAGGGTAACAGACCGTCAAATACAACGAATGAGCTTCAAGTTCCAATCAACAAATTTTAGCAACCAATAGGTATGAAATGTTAAAAACAAAATACTGTCAAAGTATGAGATGACAGCCTGTCATTGAAACATCACCAGCTTATTGAATTAAATTACATATAATTCAGTCAAAATTTAAAGATATATTGGATATTTGAATAAAATTCATGTTTTAATTACTATTGTTGATTTTTTATTCATGTTTATATTGTTTTCTTCAATTCATATGCCATACTGGGTGTTTTTTCCTATAAACCTCTTGCAGATAGCCATTAAGCATCTACTTGATGACAGGCTCCACCAGAAGATATTGCTCGTTTCCAAACATTCATTCATTTACTTGCCGTTCATCAGAACCCTTATGGCACCTTAGATTGATATTCCCACAAAACCATCTAGGTTTTTTGATATCCATACATCCATAAAGTTGAATATTTTTCGTTGTTCAGGAACTGAACAAACATCCACACTATATTCACAGCGATTAAGAAATTCCCAAATATATGCCTTAAAGCTACCGGCAAACCTAAAACCTGCAAAAAAAACTACAAATTTGATATATTTTTCTTTTTTCACGATTACACTTGCTAGGTTATATTTATATTACATATTATTTGAATACAGCTGATTATTGCATTTCAAGACTCCCCGAGTGGCCGATGTGTGGGATCTGTCAACTCTTGGTACCAGTCACAAAACATATACTCTGAAGGTTTAACTCCATGCTATTCAATGACAACACGGTGACTGGTGTGGTTGTCAGCGGCCATTTTGTGAGGGTGCGACAGGGTTGCCAGATTGTGCATTAATATCCCGTTTCACCCTCCTGGTCCCAGTGGAGTAAGCTCCGCCAACTGTTGAAATATACTCTACTATGCTTTATAAGACTATTCGTGACATTTTTCCCAAAATCGTTGCACAACACTTGAAAAAATGCAAATGAAAATTTAAAGTTATTTCCATGACGCCGCAAAATAGCTCCGTCGGTATCTTGGGTTATACATCTTGACAGTAGGGATGTTCGATACGATCCTATTGTGATATTCATCCCGACCACTGCATCCCCACGGCTAGGCGACCTGTATGTTAAATTTGTATTGATAGGGCAGCGGGTTATGCTATAAATCATATGTCACAGTGTTTGTGCACTGATTGCAACGGTTAGATGATACCAAAAATATTTTCATAAATAGGTGATCTTTCCCATTCCGGATCGAACAATCTACCAAAGATGCTTATAAACATGATACCTAGTAAATTTTCATGAAAAAAATTCAAAACCAGCAAATGTAAAAGATTCATGTCGCACCCTCCACTACGGGACGTGATCGTCGTTAGACTTGGCAACCCTGCGAGTGACAGATAGATATCCCCGCCAGCCAAAAAGACAAACAATAAACATTACTAACTAACCAACATTTATGATTTTTGGACTTAAAAGACATTATTTGTGAAACATTTTTCATAATTTTTTGTCTATGTTCATAGTAATTATTGCATTATGCATCAGGGAGATGTAGGGATTGACACGTCTTACACATATTATCTGTGTTTTAGGATGGAGAGAAAATAATCTTTTTATTGCTTTGAAGAAATGCATTAACCCATAAATCAATAAATGATTACTATTATGACGTAAAGGAAGATGAGGAATTGGATGGAATGTATTTTATATTCTATTTTCTTGCAAAATACAGAAAAATCCACACTATTCAACAAGTATGTAATGATAACTTTCAGTATATTGAAGTTGGTAAATTCGAGAGTGCCATGCATTAACAAACGCCCAAATCTGCTGCCAAATATAACAGCTAGAAAATCGACCTATTATTTGCCGCATTCCCATTCGCTGAGGGGGATAACGGATTGTTAAATGTAAACCTATAACATATATCAAAATACATGAAAGTTGTCCTCTTTTTTCTGTACAAAAGCGTCATGTTGGAATCAAAAAGTGGTCTTGTTTATAATACAGTCGAATTTTCACGATTTTATTCAATATTTCAATAGAAATCATTAATATCACTGATCAACAGCCAAAAATGTCCTAAATAAAATCAACAAAATGTTACTATTTTTAATGTGCTAAAACCGGAATGAAACTTATTTTTTCAATATTAGTTCAAGTTTTAGAGATACGGTAATTATATGTGTTCCTGCTGTGACAGTGTTAATACACTGTAATTCACAAGAATGCACGTGCTACATTTTTATATTCGGCAAGGAAAGATGATGTAATCGGCATAATTCTGTTACGTTATACATACGTGTACATTATATTGTTTTATATTAGCCATTTTTTCCTCAGTTGGCTGACAGCGTTCATGCAAGATGTCTCGAAAGTGTGTAAACAATCCAGATCAGTTTTGTTACGTGTGTGGTGATGTGACTTTTGCGTCTCAGAGACGGTCTATTACTCCACTAATAACAAAGGCATATCAGCTTTATTTCGGTTGTAAACTAGGTGATCAAGACAAACAGTGGGCACCCCACATCTGCTGTAATACATGTGCTTCAAGTCTGAGGAGCTGGTTAAATGGCAAAAAAACGGTCTATGCGCTTTGCTGTCCCAACGGTTTGGAGAGAGCCTACAAATCATATTAATGATTGTTACTTTTGCATGGTACCTTGTGTTAGACAAGCCACAGGTATGTCCAAGAAAAAAAAATCGGTAATTAACTGCCCAAACATACCATCTGCGATGAGACCTGTGCCTCACAGTGACGAAAATCCTATTCCAAAACCCCCAGAATCCTACACTTGCGAATCAGAAAACGAATCAGATCATGGCGATCGAGTGATTCGTCAGGAAGAAGATATGCCATCAACGTCAAGAGATCCTGATTTTATTCCGACCACGTCATGCCACCAACCGCACAAAATAACACAGTCAGAATTAAATGATCTTGTAAGAGATTTAGAACTTCCAAAATGTAAGGCAGAGTTACTTGGATCAAGACTGCAGCAGTGGAACTTGTTAGAAGACGATGTTTCGGTATGTGTTTTTCGTAAACGCCACAAAGACTTAGAACCATTTTTCAATATGGAGAATAACTTGGTTTTCTGCAGTAACATTAACGGCTTACTGGCGGCTTTAAATATAAACTATAACCCAGAAGAATGGAGATTGTTTATATACAGTTCAACATTGAGTTTAAAGGCAGTGTTATTGCATATTTTACCATCTCTTCCTGTAGGGTATGCAGTTCACATGAAAGAATCATATGACAATATGAAGTACCTATTGACATGCATAAAATACGATGAGCACCAATGGCATATTTGTGGCGATTTGAAAGTTGTTGCACTTTTACTTGGGCTGCAGCTAGGCTACACAAAGTTTTGCTGTTTTTTGTGTGAATGGGACAGTCGGGCAAAGGCACTTCATTACACCAGACAAAACTGGCCTGTTCGTCAATTCCTAGAGCCAGGTCAAAAAGATGTACAGCATATGCCATTAGTAGATTCGAAAAAAAATTTATTACCACCACTGCATATCAAGTTGGGCCTAATGAAAAACTTTGTCAAGGCATTAGATAGAGATGGGTCAGCTTTTCAATACCTGCGTCAGAAATTTCCAAGACTAAGTGAGGCAAAGGTTAAAAAGGGTATTTTTGTTGGGCCACAGATTCGAAATATTTTGAAAGATACACAGTTTGAAAACACTTTAACAGGTATTGAAAAAACTACTTGGAATGATTTCCGTCTGGTGGTCACTAATTTCTTGGGAAATAGAAAAGCTGACAACTATAAAACCCTTGTCAAAAATATGCTGTCATCGTATCAAAAGATGCGCTGCAATATGTCTCTTAAGATACATTTCCTACACTCACACCTGGACTTTTTTCCTGACAATTGCGGAGCCGTAAGTGATGAGCACGGCGAACGTTTTCATCAGGATATTTCAACAATGGAAAAAAGGTACCAGGGAAAGTGGAATCCTTCCATGCTTGCAGACGACTGTTGGACTTTTGGTAGAGATGCTCCAGAAACGATCCATAAAACAGCAAAAAAACAGCGCATATAGTGATTCTTATAAGTATATGAATCTTGCTACTTTTTTTAATATATCCTTAAAAATAAAAAGTTTTTTTCTAAACCGCAACTAATTTTTTTATTTCATTGTCATTTTTGGATTCAGCGCCCCAAAATTAACAAAGAAATGCACTTTTCCCACAAGATACAATTAACAAACTAAAATTTGTTGTCCAGTGTATTCAGAGACCATTGGTCCATAATATTAATGTTGGTGAAATTGGGCCTTAATGTAACATTCGGGATATTTAGGGAAGGATACCACTGTAGCATATCATGTCAACAACTCCGTTCCTTGAATACGCCCATTGCAACGTTTGTAACTTCGATTCAAAATTGGGAAAACCTCTAAGTCAATACTCACTCTCTCTTCTTAGCAAGGAACGTTTTGAAGGTATTGATCATCTCCAGGTATGACGTTGGAGTGACATAGTTTTTCCTTCCCAGTCGAATGTAAAACTCGTCGGACAATTCTTGCGTGGAAACGTGGAACATTTGGCACATATCAATGCATACGTTTCTCTCTTTTGCGGTGAGCTCGATTTCACCCAGAAATCTCGTCGCTACGGCCAGCAGAGCGTCTTCAGGCCAGCTCTAGAAAAAATATGCGATAGTTTCGCAAATACGATGAGCATAAAACATTACTGGAGTGACAAACATTTTGGGGTTCACCATGGAATGTTTATATACGTGCAACAAAAGGGTCAATGGTTAAGTTTCAAATATGGTTTGCTTATGTTTGCCTGATACCATAGACCATATAACTCACATTATTAATGTCTGTCTCGAAACAGGTTACTTTCCTGCCAGTTGGAAAAATGGTATTATTATTCCTATAGCTAAAACTAAACATCCAGAACAATATTCGGATCTCAGGCCAATAACCTTATTATGCTTTCTATCAAAAATACTCGAAAGAGCTGTCTACTCACAACTTGTGGAGTTTTTCGAACAAAACCACTTATTTCCTCTACATCAGTCAGGTTTCCGAGCTGGTTACAGCACTACTTCGTCTTTATTACATCTTACTGATTCCATCATTCACAATTTAGATAATCACATCAACACCGTCTTGGTATTGTTAGATTTCTCGAAAGCCTTTGATATGGTCAATCACCAGATACTACTGAGTAAGTTATCTCATTATGGAATGTCAGATATAGTTCTAAGGTTCTTTGAGTCATACTTGCTAAATCGTCAACAAGCGGTGAAGGCTGATCAGCTAATTTCCTCCTCTGAGCCAGTTCCTTCAGGAGTTCCTCAGGACTCAGTATTAGGTCCCTTACTATATCTGATTTATACGATCGATCTACAAGACTGTTTAGTCCACTGTAGTATGCAAACTTATGCAGATGATACTCAGATAGTGTTTGGTTTCGATCCATCAAAGGTTGATGAAGTTTCTTTTAAAGTTAATTTAGATTAGGCTAACATCGGTGATTACTGTAACAAACACTGCTTGAAGATCAATCCTAGTAAAACTACTGCAATGTTGTACTGTTCGAAAAACTCCTGCCGTGAAATGAAGCAGAGGATTTGTGTTTTTTTGAATGAGACACTCAGCCCTTTTGTGGATTACGCCAAGAATCTCGGTGTTACCCTTGACTTAAATATGAGATTCGATCGGCATGTCTCTTTCTTATCTAGAGTAACGTATATGCGTTTGAAACTCCTCTATTCTAATCGATACCTCTTGAATTTTAAAACCCGAAAAAAGCTCGCTGAAAGTCTTGTGTTGTCTGTCATTTCTTACTCTCTTGTTCTTTATTATCCATGTTTAGACTACGTCCACAAAAGGAAACTCCAGAAAATTCAGAACAGCTGTTGTAGGTTTATTTTTGGATTGCGCAAGTTTAGTAGCGTCTCAGATAAAATCAAAGAACTCAACTGGTTGCGAATTGATAAGTTATTTTTATATCTTTTGACCGTCTTCACGCATAAAGTTCTATTATCTAACAGACCAGCTGACCTCGCTAGCAAATTAGTTCACCGAGGTAGTTTTGTTACCAAAGCTCTTAGATTTAATGCTAATTTTAACATGCCTTCTCACAACACCTCGGTCTTTGAAAGAAGTTACACCTATAATGCTGTCAAGCATTACAATGCAGTCAACAGTGGCTATCGATCCAAACAGGTTGTTTCTTTTAAGAAATTGATGAAAAGTCAGCTGCTGGAGTCCATTTAGTTCAGTTTTTCTTGTGTTCGTGTGATTTTTTTTCTTTTTTTTTTCTTGTTTGACTACTTTCTACTATTTTTGTTTCAAATTTAAAACTCTCGCAATACTATCTGCATTTGTCTCGTGCAATCAATGTTGTCATTCTTATGAATTGTATTTTTTTTTTGGTATGTTATTATTTTGTTTATGTGTTTAAGTATTCTTTTTCCTGTTGTGGGGTTGTGGCCTCACTGCAGCTAATAAAGGCATTATTGTTATTATTATTATTATTATTCATGGAGAGTCCGCTTGCACTTACCGCCAATTGGCAAGTTCGTGCTGTTATTTTTTATGAGTAACATTTTCTTGTCTGTGTTTTATAACACCACGAGCTATGCGATTAATCGTATCTGATAAAGTTTCCTATAAAATAGGTTTGTGCCACGGCTTAAACCACTAACATACCTGAAACCAATCGATAGTGCAGCAATTGACTAAAGCAGGAAACTTTCTGAGCCTGCTCCTGAACCCGTCTCCAATCGGGCTCATGGTTAATATCAAATGCAACTGTTCCCTGATAATCTGCACAAAGAAATTGAACAGTGCAGCTGGACTGCCGTCAGTCTGCATAGACTTGTCTCTTTGTCGGTCGAGTTGCCTCATCTTTTCGCAGAGTTCTACCCTTTCTTCTGTCGTGAAGAGATTCGGGACCTCTCCAGCATTCATCAAATTGCTGAAATGATTGATGTGACATAGGAAATGTTACATGAACTCTAAAAGAGTTGCGTTTTTAGATGTTTATCATCAAATACAGTGTGTTCCTTCGATGCGCCATTTTTGAGTAAAAAAAATAAAAACCGTTCTATTGTCTAACTTGCAAAATTATTATTAATGTAATTGGAAAAATTAAACACATTAGGGGTAATGAACAACAACAACAACAACTGTCACATAAACATAACATTAAAACCAAGGCAATGATTACAAAAATTGTATACTTAGTATACATGCTTCCCCCTTCTTCTCATGGAATCGCGCACTCGTTGAAATATCCCTGGAGTGTTTTTTATTCTATCTCAAGCTGCAACTATTCTTTCTCGTAATTCCTCTACCGTGTTAATGGGACTTGTGTACACTAGTGTCTTAAGAGAGCCCCAGAAACTGAAATCTAAACTGTTGAGGTCTGGGAACCTTGGTGGCCATTCTTGGGGCCCGCTTGAAGATACCACTGCCAAAAGGTCACACGCCTTGGAAAAGCAATGGGAAGTAATGCCTGTACTCTTAAAATATGGTAATGATATAACACAAAATCCACTAAAATTCTCCAAACAATTTCATGGCAAATATTTAAGTGTCTTCGACTTCGTGCAGCATTGCTTCCTCAATTTCAGGTGTTCTCACACTTGGAGGTTCCTTTTAGGACAGAACCAGTTTCAACAAGACGACGATGAATATTAGAAAAGGATCGACTATCTCGCAAAGCACGATCGGGATATCTCTGGCGATAAATCCGTCTGGCTTGCTCACCATTGCATCGAAGGAAAACAATTCAAGAGAAATCATTTGTTTTAAATTGAACGGGGAATTGACCATTTTTTTCTTAAAAAATATCGAAGTCAATGCCCGTACGCACGCCACTGTTAAAGCTAAAAATTATTTTTGCATTGAAAAATATGCAACTTTATTAACTTTCACTACGTACTAAATATCAGTGAAATATCTGAAGCGGTTCTGAAAATATTAATTAATTTCCATTTTTTTCCTAAAACTTCAACACCCCGAGTTTTTGTAAGGAAACATTTTTGGACCATAGTTTATAAAGCAAACTAAGTTTAATTTTTTATGTAGATTCACACCCTTAAATATTCGCATATCATTAGGAACACCCTGTATAAAAATCACATGTCACTTGGATCTGGGAATTTCCTCTTGTTGTCGCATTGTGCTATTTTTATCTCTAATCGTGACCCATTATAAATTCTTAAACCTTCAAAAAAAGAAAATCTTCCTAATTTCCTAGAATTGAACCTTCCAATATAATAAAATGTACCCTCCTGTCCGCGTTCGAAGCGCGATTCTTTTGCGACCATATAACATCTGATTAAAGACAGTACTCACCTGACGTCTTCCAAGAATGCCTCTTCCTTAATCTGGGTATCGCTGAACAACAATACTCCATGTTGGTCCGTTGCGGAAGCCTTTCTCAAAATATTCTTGACGTCCTCGTGCCATTCGTTGACTCCGTAAGTTCTTGTTATCTCCACTTGGAACAATTCGTATTCGGAGATATGAGAAGCTAGTCTGGTCAAAGATTGTCTTCCTGACCCGCCAACGCCAACGCACATGCCGTGACTTCTGGGTTGCTTCAAGATTCGACAGATTTTTGACAGATGCTCTATGGCAAACCTTTCAGAAACAGAAGTAAAAAATACTCATCCAACAGTCACTTCTAAGGCAGGTTAAAAGTTGAAATCACACATGATACAAGATCCAAATCTTGCTTGCAAGAGTTTCACGTTGTATGCATACTTTACCTGAAAAGCACTAAATTCATAGGCTTCTTGGACATATTATTATATTCTGCTAGGTATCCTTCAACAATGGACTTCAACTGGTCCAAGTTCATAACCTCCATATAATGGCGAGTATCTGCCTTTGGATTTGCAAAATCGCAGTACAGCAGATTCCTCAATTCTGTTTCTCCAATCTAAAGAAACACTATTGAGAGTCTATACTTAGGAAATTTATAGAATTACATGATCTTCTGCTCAACTAAAACCACACGTGTTATTTCATTCAACAATGATATAAAAAAAGGTAAAAATCCTTGAAATGGATAGGCATTCAATATTTGACCAAAAAGTGCAATAGAAACATAGCCTGTGTGAAGGTAAATGTAGATCTGCACGTTACGGTTTATACAGCGTCCTTGTAGTCTAGTACTTTCATCATAAATATACTAAGTGACATATAAATCCGAACACCCAGTTTAAATGGTTTTATTTTAATAAAAGTTGGTGAATGTATTTATCTTACTGTAAATAACAAGCGAAAAAATGTTTAGCCTTATCAGTTGGACATTCTGGTTTTTATACTGCTTTTTTTTAATTCACTAACGCTCTAAAAATGAATATTTCACCCGGACTTCGGGAAGCTGGACTTTCTTTTCGGGCAATTGCAGTTAGAGTGCAAAGAAGTGTAGACACAGTGGTTAGGTGTTGTCAGGCATGGCTTCGAGAAGGCCGTACGCAAAGAGCAAGGGGCACTGGACGCCTCCGTAGAACAACAGACCGTGAAGATCGCCGCCTAAGAGTATTGGCCTTAAGTGACCGTTTCTCCACTACCAGGTCCATTGCAAATGAATGGTTTGCAGAACACGGAAGACCTATTGACATGCGAAGTGTTTACCGACGAATGAGAAGTTTTGGCTTGGCTTAACTCGAGAACACGACGTAATCGCCTTGAGTGGTGCAGACAACGGTCACTCTGGGATCAGGAATGGAACAGTATTGTCTTTAGTGACGAGTCTCGATTTTGTTTAGGCATGCACGATGGTCGTTCCAGGGTTAGAAGACGACGTGGTGAAAGGAGGAATCCACAGTTTTTTGTTGAAAGACATGTTCATCACACTGTTGGAGTTATGGTTTGGGGTGCTATAGCTTATGGTTCCAGGTCACCTTTAATCTTCATCAGAGGTAACATGAACGCGCAGCGTTATATACACGAAGTTCTAGAACCCCATCTTTTACCATACCTAATGATGTCACATTGTTACCATGGCCACCAAGATCTCCCGACTTATCCCCAATTGAGCACGTGTGGGATATGATGGGTAGGAGATTGCTCAATTGGCAACGTCCTCCTCAGACTCTAGAAGCACTTCGAGAAGAGTTGGTGGTTGCCTGGAATGAGATACCACAGGAGGACATTGACCACCTGATCAGAAGCATGCCTAGGCGCGTTGGAGAATGCGTAGCACATCAGGGTGCATCCACACATTATTAAAGGTCAAAGGGCTTTAAAGCAGCGCAATCATTTTGAAATTTTTATCATTTACTTATTATGCTTCATTAAGTACTTATACAAAATTTTATTAAAATAAAACCATTTAAACTGGGTGTTCGGATTTATATGTCACTTAGTATATTTTATGATTTTTTAGAACCGTCCATCCTCTCTGCCGCACCCTGTATATCTAGCAAATCAATATTTCAGAAAAGATTACTTGAATTAGTAAACCAAATAATGATATAAAACTTTTACTTGTAATTTAAAGATGCTTAAAAGAAACTTGAAGGAATATTTTTCATGGACAGTGAAAATTCGTGTAGAGATGCAAATCTTGTTTTTCTAAATATCTGTGTTAAGTAATTATTGTACTTTTTTAAAAGAATGTCATGCTAAATACATCTTAACTCTCAAACAAACAGTTTTAAATACAAATTAAGCATTCTACAGAATTTTTTCGATATTTTCACAATCTCTTAGTCTATCTGCGGGTGTGTCACGCTTTAGATGTCGTCATGACAACGGTGTTACTTTTCGTATACGACTTTTATCATCGATTTCAAAAATACGGCCCCAGAACCGTATGGGGTAGGTATTTCTGCTCCAAAAAGTCATCCGACCCCCCAAAGCGCCAAGCGAGTACGAGGTCATCTGTTGTCTTGGGTGCAGCAGACACGCCACTCTCGTCTATCGTCCCAAAAACATCAAACGTCCGCTGTGAACGCAAAAACCCATTTACAACTATGGTCGCAGCATACCTATTGACTGTTATGTAATCTTCGACTCCTAATGCTGTATCTGCATTGTTCATGGATGCGAATTGCGATAAATAGTCACCTTAAGGGCACCGGATTGTTTGTCTTGTGAGAGAATAATAAAAGAAGCGACGGTTTGGCCTTGACATAGGATAAGACCTGGAAGTGAAATACTGATGGTGCACTAGTCGGTTGATATTGATACCAATGACGATCATCGAGTTCAATCAATATGAAGACCATAAGTTTGAGGTGTTACATTTTGGAGAACTTAACGCGATCTTTACTACCTCTTTGACTCCAGGTGTTGCTAGTCTCTGGAACATTACATTGAGGTCTTCTTCCAGTTTATCACGGCACACCTCGTGAAGGGCGGCTATAATCCACAATCTATCAACATCCTCTACCAAGCGGTCATAGTATACCCTCAAGACCTCATGGACCCATAAGCGCTTCATTGCTGTCATGTCTTCCATGGCTTCTGGTACTGACAGAAGCACACCCTGTATTAAAAAGATTCGAGGTCACATTTATAGAAATTACCTGAGGAATAAGTGCCGCATGGGAAATGATCACTCCTTAGATTTGAAATAAACATTAAGCAGTTTTCAAACGAGGACCTAGCATTGGTATTTCACAGCGTGATCGTCTATAGTGGATACCAAATAAAATCCGATGCACGTCATAGGTGATGTCATTCATAAAAATCATGGTTACCAACAGTTGACTAGATTCAATGTGACATTTCTACTTGAAGTTTAAATTTCCCCGTCTCGATTCGGTTGGTAGTGCCGTGCAGAAAAATGTGAGGTTGCCACTTCTCATTTGTTGACATCAGTTGCCATTGTCCTTTTGTCGTACTATTAGTTCTTTATTGTTTAGTTTGTGAGTTTTGCGCTATTTGAGCTTTGAATCGTTGCCTTGCCAATTAAAAGTTGTTCTTCTCAGAACAAAAGTTACTGTGAAGTGGTATA